TCTGTCTCCCTGTCCCCCTCTGTCTGCATCTGTCTCCCTGTCCCCCTCTGTCTGCATCTGTCCCCCTCTGTCTGCATCTGTCTCCCTCTGTCCGCCTCTGTCTCCCTTTGTCCGCCTCTGTCTCCCTCTGCCTGTGTCTGTTTTTCCGAGTAGCTGCTGTCGAAGAGTTCAGAGGCGGGGTCCTACCCATGCACGCCCACCGCCATCCTGCCTCGCAGCGCCTTCTGGCACCACATAACTGGCAGCTCCACCAACGGTATGCTGGGAAAACGTGGTGTGTGACTCACCCTGCCTCTGCTTCTGTGTGCCTCTGTGTGACTCACCTTGCCTCTGCTTCTGTGTGCCTCTGTGTGACTCACCCTGCCTCTGCTTCTGTGTGCCTCTGTGTGACTCACTCTGCCTCTGCTTCTGTGTGCCTCTGTGACACTCACCCTGCCTCTGCTTCTGTGTGCCTCTGTGTGACTCACTCTGCCTCTGCTTCTGTGTGCCTCTGTGTGACTCACCCAACCTCTGCTTCTGTGTGCGTGACTCACCCTGCCTCTGCTTCTGTGTGACTCACCCTGCCTCTGCTTCTGTGTGCGTGTCTCACCCTGCCTCTGCTTCTGTGTGCCTCTGTGTGACTCACCCTGCCTCTGCACAGTGTGCTTTCAGCATGTCTGGCCAATGTAGCCCCATCACTTAGACTGAACTCCTCATGAATCCTGCAGTGAGCGGGATTTCTGTACCCTGTCAGTCAATGCACACTTTAACCAGATGGAAACCATCACTAAACAAGTTGGTTAAAGTACATTTACATTTTACACATTTAGCAGATGCTTTTGTTTAAAGTCAGGCAAGTAGCACATGCATAAATGCTGTCAGGGAGTCAACTAGGCAGCTAGGCTGAGTTTCCAATGAACGCTCAGGTACAGGTGTAAGCAGTATTGCAGCAGGAACTACACAGCAGCTACAGAACAATTTCCAACAAAGCAAGAATAAGATTCATTAATCAAGGACCAAAGGTGCAATATATTAACACTGATATAATATGAAGAGGAATCAATCTAGTAGAGGAATTCATGGAACAGATGGATCTTGTGGTGTTCTTGAAGGTGGAGAGGGAGGGTGTTTGATGACCAGATGTGGTTTGGCAGCTCATTCCACCAAGTGGGCCAAATTCCCTTAAAAACCCAAAGCCAAGGTTGCCTAAAGTTTGCAAACTGATTGCTTGAGCAGGCCAGCCATTTAACTCTCACGGGCCTCCACCTATTGGGGAACTATGATATAAAAATTTTGCATTAGGCTGTGGAGAAAACCTTTGATCCCGATGCTGTGTTTGATCCAGATTAAACTGTATGTCCGCCTACTGAGTAACCATGAACTAGACCCTAACCATACATGAACACCAAAAGTGGGTTTTAAAGCTTGCTAGTCCCAACACTTCGTCTCTGCCTTCAGTGTAGCCATTGTTAAGGAGCACTATGTGAGCAGTGTGACAAAAAACATGACATATTTACGCCCATATGTATTGAAGACCTGTCCCCTTCTTCTGTGTTTTAGGTGATGTGTTCAGTAGCTCACAGACGGAGCCAGAAACAGACCAGCTTCCCGGGCGTCTGCCCCCTGAACGCCAAAACGCAGTCCCCATCAGCCACAGCCGGCATGGTCCCGACCAGTACCGCTCCTACCCTGGCCAGTGAGGGGTGCTGCACATTCCTCCCTCCTGATGTTTAATCTCCCTTATGTCTGTTGGGCTGGGACCTCATTTTCATCTCTTCAGGCCCCCCACTGATCCAGGGAGGCAATGGTGGAGGTGGGTGAGAACCCGACACACACACAGGAAGAATTTCTTTTTGGCCACGGAGGATCGACGAGACTTGCACACTCCTTCCGTGAGGAACTCCATCTCCCAGCAGCCCTCAGAAAGAAGGAAGAAAAAGGGGGGTGGTTTTGAGACTCGTGGACCTTTGTGTTTCTGTTGTTTTGGACACATTTTCGTGAGCTGCTCTATGCATGGCCCCCTTGGCAAGAAACAAAATGACCGTGTGGCATATGTGAGTGTGTAGGGGTCCCTCAACTAGACAAGCCCAATGACATCATATTGTTGGCGAAATCTGCCTTTAGAGAGAGATCACCCATACCCACCCATCTTTATGGGCAAGAAAATTAAACAGTCTAGAAATTTTTATGGCGAGTGCAGCTGTGAAGCATGAAACCAAGTCTGCACTCCCTGTGCTTGAACCCATAACCTTAATCTAGCGCACAAATGATGGGCCTTATAGCAGCGTTTCTGCTCCTGGAAATACACGACGATATAAGTGCCGGTGAAGACGGCGCGAGCGTGCGCGTGACGGCCAGCCTTGTACAACGAGAGAGAGAGAGAGAGAAGAACGTCTTCCTCAGACAAGGAAGAGGGGGATCGAGCAAACAGCATCTTTCTTTTGTAGGCAACAAAGCAACCAGACAGCTAGATGTTTCCTTGAGTTGAGTCCGTTTCGGACGGATGAGAAAACAAGATATTGCATTCACTGAGACAAACGCCTTTGGCTGTGTTCCTTCTTGCTTTATCATGCTGCTCTTCGGTGAACCACAGACAGACCTCTCCTGGGAACTGCAACTGAGAATGCTTCCTCCATCCCTTCATCTCTTCCTCTGATCGGGGTGCCTCTGTGTTCATGGACAAAGGCTTTTCTGTCAGCTGGTGAAACAAACCATGAAAAAGCTTCTCTGGACCAGTGGTTGCATTACTGTCTAGCATCATTTAAAAAAACAAACTAACAGAGAGGAACTGAAAGACTGAAAAAGTCGGATTACAGCAGCGTGCAACTTAAATTATTTTTTTACTCATCCCCATTTTTAAAAAAATCTTTTCCATTTCTGAATGAAAAAACAACACAGTTTTGAAGTTTGTTTTTCTAAGCAGTTTTTTTCTTCACAAAAGGGTAATGCTGACTACAAATGTCTGTGGGTATTGGTTTATCGTTACCTGTGCTTTGAATTTTAATGGTAGGTCCGGTTATGCACTTGCGTGTTCTTAACTGAAAGTTTGCACTTGGGGATGATTTTAAACATTACTTTTTTAGATAACTCAGGAGAAAATAGGTCTTCTATTTGAGACATTGTGTTTTTTTTACTTACTTTGGGGGATGCAGCATTGTTGGAATAACTTTTCTGGGTCTGGATAAGAGGGGTACCTCCCACGTTTCATCTACCTGTCTATCTGTCTAAGAGGATTTTAACATCAACTGAATTGCTAGGGTTGGCAAAGTCATCCCACGTCAGGTGGGCCCACAGTCAGGGGTCTGTTCGGGGTCCACTGCATGTAGCACACATCCCTTACAGAAGTCTACGTCTCAATATGAAACTGATACAACGTCTGCGGTACAGGGTCTGAGTCTCTACCCAGTGCTACACTCACACTCCGTGACCGTCTTGAGTCTGCTATGTTCAGAGGCTTGATGTCGAGCATTCTGTAGTCAGATTTCTAACTGCTCTGTAACACATGGTATGTCTGTCATATTCAAGTGGGTGGCTTGCTGCAAAGTGATCTATTTTTTGTACTATGAGCTGAGATGGGGAAGAGACTCTTCACTCTTAATGAATCTGTGTGAAGTCTTAAATCTCGTTGATATTCCTGTTCATCCCTCTTGGCGCCCAGTTTAAAGCTTGCATTTTATTAACAGTTATTTATTGTCATAATTAATGGAAAAACAGTTTTTTCTGCAGAAAAAAATATATTTACACGTGTTGGGTGAGCATGTTGCTCGTGCAGAGCTGGGTTCAAGGGCATAAATTTGGATATGGATGGTAGGGACATGTCCTACCAATGTGGGAGTACTGTTTGTATTTGGGGGGGGGGGGGTTCGGGGCTGTTTTGGTCCCAACCGTTGTTGAAACCAAACGTAGACACTTGGCTGGATTGGTTTTCAGCTCTAATGGGGATGGCTTGGCGTCCTTAAGGAACGTTCCTGTACTGGTTCCTGTACTGGTTGCCCCCAGGGATCCGTTGTTCTGTTGGTCTGCAGCGTGGAAGACATTTATGTGTGAGACCTGTTATACGATTCAATACATACGAGTATGTGTAATTTAATGTTATCTATAAGAAGGGCTAAGCTTTTGTTGAACACATCCCTAACATATCTAAGCTTATGTTGAACATGTTTTTCCTCTGTGTTGTGTATTTATAACCTGGGTTGACCATTGTACATATAGCTATTTATTTCTTTGTTTTGTGCAGGTGTTACATAGAGAACCCTAACCCTCCAAATCTGTGCGTGTGAGTGCGTCTGTCTGTCTTTGGGTAACAATAGGGAATGTTAGGAGAAAAGCCAAGGTACCTCCTCTTGTTTTATAAAACATGCTTCAGGCATGCTGGGAAACACTGTTAACAGATTGTTCTGGATTCACCTTTGTGTATCTGGGGTGTCAAGACCTGTGAGAGGTGAGAAGACTGTGCCCATCCCCCCTTTCAGGGGACAATGGCCTCGGCCATCTTTGGGCGGGATTCACAAACTGAGAGAAACAACGAATATTAAACAAAGATGGGCAATGCTAGAGTAGCTTCTACAGCAGAGCACAAGTAGCTAAAGACCCTGGGGGGGTGAGAATTTCTCATTTTAATTTCTCAGCCGTCTGACTGCAGCCCATTGGTCATTGCAAGGTGTGTGAATTAACTAGCAGGTAACAAATGGGGCTTTTCTGTCAAGGTTTTATTTTCTGCCTTAAAGCTGCTGTTTGCTTTTTTGGGGCATCGGTACACAGATAAGATTAAGTTGTGATGTATGTTTAAGGTCTAAAGACTTATACTCTATGACAGATAGCATTTATATAGACATATTGGACCCTGGTGGGTATATTTGAATGGGATAAATTGAACTGGAAGCCACATTTGCCCCTGGTTGGAAAACAGCTATAGCTATCGGAACACAGCATATCTGTTTTATGACTTTTTACCTATGCTGAGTTGCATAAATCTCTTTTTTTCCCCCTGTCCTTTCTACGCACAGTCGTCTTTCATGTGGTTTACTGTGCAGCTCAAAGATGGGAATAGCATGGGGTATACAAAAAAACACCATTTTTATAGCTGTACTGGCCAATGTTGCTTTGCGGTGTTTATGTCTTCGTAGGGCGACAAAAGATCTTTAAAAAAATATATAATACATTTTTCTAACATGCAGGCTGAGTAGTTCTGCGCTCTGGTAAAGTGGCTCAGTACATTTGGAACACCCCAGACCTTTACGGCCATAGATACCACCCGCTTCTTTCATTCCCAACTAAAACATGATGCTACCTTCTCAAATCACATTGTTGTTATAACAGTCTCGATGCAGTGATGTTTGTTGTTTGGCTGTTTAAATCAGTACGCCAGTGTCCAGCTGATGTGTCATCTATTCCCGTGGAGACCAATAGAGTACATAGACGCCACGTTTCACTCCTCTAGGTCCTAAGCAACAACAGTCTATGTGGATCGGAGCAATTCATGAAATTGAATTATTCTGTAAAGTTAAAAAAAATACTTTGAAAAATACAGCCAGAAAAATATGTTGCTTACTGCAGCTAAAATTTCTTTTTGCAGTTATGTGTACGGTCCTGTAGTTTCTGGAGTTCAGAAACATCACTTTCACTATATATGATGTTATCCTTTATTACATCATTTTTCAACGTGTCCTATGACTCATGTCCATATTATTACACTTTGATAATGCAAAATAAGACAGTCGTACTAGCTGAATTTTTCAAGTAGATTATAATACTTACTTAAAAAAAAGTAAAATAAACGCAAAAGCCATCAATGGATGTTTATCTTCTGCTCATTCAAGCTTTTGCTGTTTTTCTTTCTGTCTGGGTCCCTTCCAGTTTAGAATTGAAATTCACACACTGACCACATCATTCACAGTGGTGGCTGTTTACATCAGATAACTTGTCTCACGTAAGCATGAAAATGCAGAATAACAGGGGAAATAAAACCTAATAGTCTGAAAAGCAGAAAGCGAAAACTCTCAGACTGTCTGTATCGCGTTCTTATAGAATTCCTTTAAAACAATATTTAAAATGTCAAGATCATTGACTAAATATTTATTTTACAGCTTATGTTGCACAAGGCATAATGGGACTTTGGAATAAAAGGGACACTCTGCTAGTCGCGGTCTGCTTGGTTAGCTCACCAGTGTGAGAGAAAGCTAAAGAGCATGTTGGCATAGAGATCACCTTGCATGCATTGAGTTATAAAACGCTGTGTGTGTCATGTAATGTTTGTGGTACAACATTTTGCAGTTTTACAATAAAAAAGATGTTTTTTTTTACAGTAAAACCTGAAATTGGTGTCCTGATTATCCATCACTAACCAACTCGATATCCTGTGAGTTTTAAATTAAAATGAAAGAATAAAACCAATATACAATATGCTGTATATCCTAAGAATGTTTTGAAAACATGGAATGGGATTGTATTATTTTTGACATCTGTTTTGCTGGGCTGCAGGGTGGCTCTGTGGACAGATTGTTAGCCCTGTCGTCTTATACCTCCGGGGCACATTGTCCCCCCGGCTCTGTGTCCCCCCCATGTTTTTGGTCATAGAGGAAGGATCCAGGTTGTTCCCTAATTACAGTGACCTTGTACTGGATAGACAGTATGGAAATAGATGAATTTGTCATTAGTGTTTAAACAGCACATTTTCACATTTTTTTGCATCAGAGGCTTAAGCTTTCCCCTTAAAACAGCCACTACATACAACACGGTCAGAATGTGTATAAGCAGCATCATTATTTCTGTTCTTTTTCTACACTGAAAACAACGGCATCACCAGAAGGTTCCTGGAAGACAGGTGAAGATCTCCTTCCTTTGCCAGGAGATGAAAAGGCATGTAATTGTGCTCAAAACCGAAGAGGCAAGGACTGCAATCCAATCACCAGTTTTAATAAAGGTTTAATAAGTAAACTGATTATAAAAAAGTCAAAAGGTGATTATGATAGTTTAACCACACCACAGGTACCTGTGACTCCTGATTCTATGAATAAGGAAATCAATCTGAACAGATATTACATTTTAGACAATAAACAATAACAAACTTTTACAAATGTATAATAAACTGAAACTGAGGTCATACTGTATATGATGTATTTGAAGCAGGAAAAATTAGCAAGAATATGGATGAGCGACTTTGAAAATGGCCAAATTGTGATGGGTTGAGGCCTGGGTGAGACCATCTCCAAAATGACAGGTCATGTGGGGTCTTCCCAGTATGCAGAGGTGACTACCTACCAAAAATGGCTATTTCAGCTCGTCAAAAAAATGGATTAGCCAAGCTGGATTACATCATCCGTGATAATTGCACGCTACCATGGACACTGACTAGGCTATATACATTGTCATGCAAAATCATGATCGACAAGTCTGGACTGGCTGTCTAAGTCCCAGATCCAAACCAGGCCCTACACACTCTGACTCACCTGTACACCTTCGTTTGCACGAAGACCCATCACCATGTTGAAGTTTTTCTCAAAGCAGTGAGGGTTAAGCCCTCATGAAGTGTGTCAGCAACAATACAGTCCACTTTCACATAATATTTGTTGTTTATCATACATTATTAATCTGAAGAGGACACATCACAGTTTGAGATTTATGCAGGCTGATGACTCTTTCGCTAGTAGAAATATCCATTAATTGTTTTTTGCCTTTTTTGTTGATTCTGCAATGGGATTTTTAATTGTAATTACTGTTTATTTGTTCATATTTATACACTGTAATTGTCTGTTTTGTCACAAAGATAAAGTATTAATTTAACCAATACAATTTTTAATCTTCACAATACCTAATGGTACTGCTTTGGTTGCACTTTCAGTTACAAAAATGTAAAATAAGGAGGTCAAATGTTAGTTATTTGAAAATGAACTCAAAATGGACAAACTTCAAATTGCTCAGCAGTGTGATAAGACTTTGTAAACGTTGTCTTCTCACAACAGATAAATTTCTTGATTTTCTTAAAGACTCATATATTATTACAGAAAAGTTTCTGAGCTTCTTGTCAGCAATTTTGGCACATGACAACATAATGCAGTTCCTCTTTCCTGTGAAGAAGATGATGAGGGTGAGGCCGTCTCAAATCTTTCTTGCAAACATTTCTATCAGTTTTAGCACATAGAACCTATTGTGAGAGCAACTCAGTCTGAGTGTAACTCATAATGAAGGCGGAGTGTTGAGGATATAGCTTTGGATCGAGTCCTAAATGGCAAAACCGAGGCCACAATTATTATGGAGCCAACGAAGTCCAGAAAAATTACATTTTTTTATCTTGTATTAATATATACAAAAGATATATAATATAAATTATTATATAAGTATATATGTTATATTAATATATTGTTTATTTATATGAATACTTTAATATTATATTATATATTATTCTTGTGCACACAAGATTAAAAAATATGCCAATCGTTTTTGAGACTTTGGCTGTATAAATTCTTCCGCCCCACCAGAACAAGAGCTATTGATGAAGGGATACTGAGGGATTTAAGGAAATTATATGCATGAAAGGCAACACAGGAAGAGCAACCAAAACAAGAGAGGGGGCTGGCAAAACGTGACTGACAAACTAAATGTGTAAGTGTCATTTCTAACTGTTTACTATTGCAACCTTTGCATTTCCACTGCCTATATGAATTATTCAGTGCGTCATATTCAGAGCAACACCAAAGACCTATGAATCAGTAAAATACAAAAATATTCTTGCATTATCTACTCTTCTAACCTAACGAACAGTAATTACTAATTCATTTCCTTTCCTTTTAAAGCAAATAGGAAGAAGGCTGAACTTAAAAAATACGGGTGAGCTTCAGCTATGCCTGATGTCACTGCAACTGAGCTGACGATCCAGCAAAATGCCCATCGCCTCATTTTATAGGGCATGGGGGGGGGGGGCAGTAGCAGGAAATGTCCTCATAATTCTACTAGTGCCCCAGCAATGGGATGGGGACCCATGTAACGTGTCGGATGAGGACACAGTATCCGGCCACTCTTATGGAGAAGGCAATTTCGGCGAACTTGGCTCCTGATATACGGAGCTAATAAACTTCCAGTGAATATTATTCCCTCTTGACTGAAGCAGTAACTCTCAAAAAGTGTCCTGGTACACTGTAGGATTTGGATTATTACGCAATACATGATCAGTTCTGATTTGCTGAATGCTATATACATAAATGTAATAATTTTTTTCTGCATTTTACTGTAACTTAACTATATGGACTGTGTCTCATATTGCTAAGGCTGTTAAGACTGTCCATTTGTACAAACCTACTAATGTTTTGTTGATGGATTTCAGTGCCTCCCTTATAACAGGGGTGGCCAATCTTACCCAGAAAGGGCCACTGTATAGGCTGGCTTTCACTGCATCTCCCTCATTAGATTACTATTTAGAGGACTGATGGGGGCTGAAGAGTCCTCACACCTGGGTTTGAACAACTGACCAAAGGTTATCTCAAAAACCTGCATATACACTGGCCGTTTGCAGATAAGATTGACCAACCCTGCCTTATAATGTTTTTTAATTTAATTATTTTTGTTTATGTGCCCCTGGTCTTAAATTGCTTCTATTTGTACTGTCATGTTATGCAATAAAGTTCCATTTTAAAAATGATAATTAAAAAAACGATCTTTTCTTATGATTGCGGCGATTGCAATTGGTTGCTGTTGTAAGAATGGTGCAGCTATGGTTGGATAGGTTTCCTGAGTGGACACCTGTGTTTAAATCTGAGATCTAATCTTGTTTACATTGAATAAACCTGCTTCAGGCAAGTTCGCGCTTAACAGTGGTTGCTGTGACAACCAATCTCACAAGAGTTTTGAAAAACCGAGCAATCTGGGATCTTGTGAAAGGGTCAGAACTGGACTATGGAGCAATGGAAGAAGGTGGCCTGGTCTGATGAGTCACGTTTTCTGTTATACCGTGTGGCCAGCCGGGTGCATGTGCGTCATTTACCTGGGGAAGAGATGACACCAGGATGCACTGGCTGTTAAAACTGTCCATTGTTGATGGACTTTAGACTTTAGTGCTTGCCTTATATATACACACACACACTCCACAGGCCAATCAGTTTTCGGCTGGGGACAGCATACACTGCACTGGTGTCAGATTCTGTATTCTGAAATATCGTACGCATTTCTTGTATGAAACTTCCTCGTGGAAGACATAACAAACAAGCTTTAATGAATAATACGTGCTTGATCAGCACATTACATTCCGTGCTTATAAATTCCGTGACTTCTGAGGTACATGTTTTACTGTGAAGTAACATGGAAAAGAGCAAATGAAGGATAATAGAAACGGCAGCTCAGGTTAGAGGGGGAACTTCATTATATGGGATAGCAGGATGGCTAACTTTGGTCAGCTGGATGGAGTGAGATGTTCAATTTGGGGCAAGTCTGCACACACATGCACAAACATTTAGATGTATATTACAGTTTTATTACTTGGTAAATAGCCAGTAGGGTTTGCAAACTACCCCAAAGCTTTTGATGTAACTAGCTTTAGGTTTATAAAAGAATTATGTAGATTTGCCGTAACATTTCTTGGGTAAGCGTACTAGTCTGAAAGCGTGAGTGTCACGCCAGATGTGTTAGAGTTGGCAACCCTGTATACACGATTATGGCGTATATGGATTGATCACAAATCCAAAAGACAATTGGAGGAGATATTAACCGGAAATCGGCGACGAAGTTCACAGTTCACACTACGTCGCGCGCTGCGCATTCCGCACTCCCCCCCCCACCGCCCAGCATGCGATGGTCTCGAGCGATGAAAACAGATCGCGCGCTCGGTTGCCGATTAAGACGCCTGCCGGGGTTGTGTGACAGTCATGTGAGCCGGGAAACATGGCTGCACAAAAATAATGGCTAGTCGCACTTCAGTCATTCCTCCGCCTTGATATTTCTTGTCGTGTTTGTCGAGAAGTAAGCAACCCCTTCGCGAATTTCAATCCGACTTTTACAGTCTGTCCACCTGAGGTAAAGTCGTCGGTTGACTATCGCCAGGTCTCCTAGTCTGTTAGCTTGTTTCTGGATGTGCGGACCGTCTTTATACAACGGGCTACAGAAGAGGAACAGTCTCGACTTTATGGTTATTTACCTGTACATTTCATAGCTGCTTTGCCCCGTTATTTAATAACGCGATGTTGTCGGTAGTTTATGAAAATAAACCGTAGATCTGACGCGCTGAAATCCGCCTGTTAAGCTGCTGGTTCTGGCGTAGGTTCTTAAGGACAAAACGTTACCTGTGAAATTAGTTATATTATTTATAATATTTTTATATATAATATTTTCCGTGGTATATTCCAGTTTTGTATAGTACTGATAATACACACACAGCGTATAATTATTATTATTATATAACTGTTCACAGACTCTTCGTAGTGGAGAAGGTGTTCATGTGGCTAATATCACCATATAGACACTATATTATAGAGGTTAATTACTAACTGGCCGTCTGTAAAAGCAGCGTAACCGCTTTCCAGTCCTTGTAGTTTGTCGTTTTAGTCGAGGTGAAGGTGAAGCAGTCCCTCATATTTGTGTCAGCCTCGTAGCGTCCGTCGGTGAAAATGAACACCGAGAAAGATTTCGCTCCCCTGACCCCGAACATCGTCAGAGCCCTGAACGACAAGCTGTACGAAAAGAGAAAAGTCGCCGCTTTGGAGATAGAAAAGTAAGTTGCAATGTTTTCCTTTGCTTATTTTCTAGGATGGTTCATTTTCCTTTATGGAATGCGTCTTTTGTTTTCGTGTTTCTTGTCTTGTATTAGGGTTTATTGTTTCGCAATAACTTAAAATCAGTGTTTTTTTTGTTATTAGTTTTTAATTTCTAAATCAAAGTTCTTCTTTTTGCTACCGTGTATTTAGCGACTTCTGGAGCCACGACAGATTTAACCCTTTCTTTATTAAATAGTGAATGAGCAATATATTACATTTTAAAGCTCTTGCCTAATCAATATAAATAAGTATTGGAGTCGTCCTGTGACCTTGAAGGACAGAGTGCATCTTTCAGAATATGGACCAAATAATAAATCTTAAATATATTGGTATTTACTGTACACTGTTTTATGTGCTAAACGTGGTAAATGTAAAAATCTTAACTGTCCTCTCTGTATGTGTGTGTGTTTGTGCAGGCTGGTGCGAGAATTTGTGGCTCAGAACAATTCCACTCAGATCCGTCATGTTATCCAGATCCTGGCCACTGAGTTTGCCTTATCCCAGCACCCCCACAGTCGTAAAGGGGGGCTTATCGGCCTGGCTGCCTGCTCCATAGCCCTGGGAAAGGTAGTGGCCGGTCCCGCAGTGACAACACTGTTTGTCTTTTCCCTTTTCCCAATTTCTTTAACTTGCTTTCTTAAGAAGATTTCAGTTTTTTGCTTATGGTGGAGCATGGTTTTTTCAAACCACATTATGAATGTACTGATTTAATGAAGTTTTCTCTGGGAAAATACCTTTCTGAAGGGTACAACAGCAGGTTCAGCCCTGGCATCTGATGTGGTGGTTGTGTGGTTACATGTTCTTAATGTCACCTGCACTTCAGCTTTTTCCCCCCCACTTCCTGCTTTCCTGTTGTCTAGTCATATTCCTACGTAATAATTAGTTTCTTCATTGCCTTTTTTTTGCCTGTGCATATTCCCAGTTGCCCAGTGGCTCACCTTTCATCGTATCCTTTTATATCCTATTCTGTTTCTCCTGGTACTATGTAATCGGACACAAACAAATCCATTTTGCATCCGCCTAGTTTGTATGACAGATGAAGGAGCGATCTGATGAGCAGATACTCTCAGTGTCTGTAAATGATGACCCCCCCCCAAAATTTCCACTTGTGTTGTGGCTTGCAGGACTCTGGCCTTTACCTGAAGGAACTGATTGAGCCAGTGCTCACCTGCTTCAATGACTCTGACAGCCGTCTGCGCTACTATGCTTGTGAGGCACTTTACAACATCGTGAAGGTGGCCAGGGGGGCCGTGCTGCCCCATTTTAATGTGCTGTTTGATGGGCTCAGCAAGGTGAGCTACCAGGAACACGTTGTTCAAATGTGAGGCAGTCAAAGGACAAACATTTTAGGCAAACAGCTGTATTCTTACCCTTATGGGTTGTGAAGGACTTGTTCCATTTACTGAATGTACCTCAACTAGTGCATCATAATTTTGCCTCTAGATGAGTCTCCTGTCATAAGAAAATCCATAATGCAAGTGAAAGCAGCACATGTGCAACAATCATTGTATGTTAGCTGTAAACCACAGTGTCACAGCATCAGCCACATGTTCAGAAAGGATTTGCTGGGCTGGGACAATTTACTAAAGGACTTAATATTAAATTCACAATCTGTATATCATTCAAGTTGGCAGCAGATCCGGATCCCAATGTGAAGAGTGGATCAGAACTGCTGGACCGTCTGCTGAAGGTAAGCGTGGCAGTAACAACATTTCAGTAGTTTTAACAGATTGGTCATTAATCAATGGGCTTCCATTTTAAACAAACATCTTGTGGATTTCATGAATGTGTATGTGCGTGTTTGCATAAGAGATGCCATTGTCTGTTCATATTTTACAGGACATTGTGACAGAAAGTTCCAAATTTGACCTGGTGGCCTTTGTCCCTTTGCTGCGTGAGCGTATTTACTCCAATAACCAATATGCACGTCAGTTCATCATCTCCTGGGTGAGTTCAGCAGTGGGACTGTGGGGGCGGGGGGGGGGCTGTTTACTGATACGTGTTTCAACAGGAAACGCTTTTTGGTGTAATGCTGATAATATGAATGTTCTGTTTTGACTGATACAGTGAAGCTTTTTACTTTTCCATTCTATCTGTGCTCTTTATACATGTTTCTGTGCTGCCTAACTATATTTATTGATTATTCATATATTTTTTCCTGAATGGAGTTCTACTTCCATTCGTTAGCAGTCATAATGAAGAATTACAAGGCCTACATTAATTATAAATAGCCATATGCAGTTATAGTGAAATGCGTTTTATAGACGACTAAGCTGTCAGTTATATGATGGTGTACGACTTCAGATGGTGTACCACTTCAGAGAGCTGCATTTTTGGGTTTCTGTTGACAAAAGCACATGTTACACAATTTTAAGGGGAATAAAATCTCTTCTTGTGTGGTTTTATTACACTAGAATCAGTGCTGTAAGTGTAATACATTAATAAATCTAAGAATTAAAATAGGTTTTGCTGTTTTTATGACTTTCCATAAACATGCATAGTGTGTAATTTGTGTAATCAAATGAGAAATGAAGGAACTTTATTATTTAAAGTAATAATTTAGATGATTATAGAGCTGCAATGAGAAGCTGGCCTTAAACACTGTACTGACCCTTTCATGTGGAATGAGTTCAATTGAGGATGGAAAATTTAATCAAGAAATCCTTTGACACAGACATAAAACACATGTTTTCCTATCTCTTTTAAACACTTTACCACATAACCTTGCAAAAAATTAAGAAAATGTTTTAAAAGAAGCAATATCTGTTTGTTTTTTTTTACTGTTGGCTTTAAAGCAGGATTTTTAATTCCTCGCTCTCTTGGCCTGTTCAGCAGGTTTTCATTTCATTTGTTGGATCATAGAATACAGGTCAAGATGCCATTGACGTTAACTGCTACAACTTATTGATTTCTTTCAAGAAATGTTTTACAAGAGTATTTTTTTAATTTAATTTGGTGTACTCTCACAATGCATAACAACTTATTTAGTCATGAATTTAGTGCCTATGAATTAATTTAAAATGGTGAATTCACTATTTGTAACCATCTTTGGCTGGAAACCACACAACTGGGAAAGGAAAAGGGTTTTTCTTTGTAGGACAGTGTCCTTTTCAGGGGAGACAGTGTTGTAGAAAATGTTCTGGCAGCCCACGATCAATACAAAAAGAACACTGCCCTTGCACCTGGAACTGTGATGAAAACTGAGTGGCTTTGTTGGGGACAGGACAATCTTAGCTTCATCAGGGTGACCTACAATGGACTTGCAGCTTGTGGCACTGCTGTGTTACTATGGGTGTAATAAAAGAATTCAGCAGTATATTTGCTGTTCTCTGAGAGAAGTATAGATGGACAGATTAACCAGAGCTTAGTTCTCCTCCCCAGGAGTACCAGGCCCTCTACCTCAGAATTGCTTCAATTTTTAGGGACATTGCCATATAAATAATGTCTGAGAAGGTAAAAGGTTTATTGACAGTATACTGTCTGAAATGATAGAAGTTGATGTGTAATTCAGTGCAGAAATTCAATATTCCAGACTAAGTAATTATATCTTGGCTGGAACAAAAACCACCTAACCCCAAAAGCAGGATTAGCAGTACTGCTTGGGAAATGCTTGCCTGTGCGTGTTTTCTTTCTCTTTTCTATTGATGTTGAAATGTTAGCCTTCTTGCATTCATTACTCTCGCATGACTAGAAATTAAATTAAAATGGAAATGTTTTATAACCGTATTTGGAATTATGACATTTTTAATGTGATGTGAAAAATCCTGTTCTTCTGCTTGACCAGCAGGGGGTCTTTACATTAAATAGGATGCCTCATAATTTTGCACTAAGCTTTAAGATGTGTCCTGAATTTCATGGAGGATTTTTCGATCTTGCTAAATGGTCTCCATTGGGAGTGTTGCAAAATCGACCCTTTATATGTCCATTTGCATTAATTAGAATGGACCTGAAATGCTCCTGATTTCAGATACTTGTGCTGGAGTCTGTGCCAGACATAAACCTTTTGGATTATCTTCCGGAAATCCTGGATGGACTCTTTCAGATCCTGGGGGACAGCAGCAAGGAGATCCGCAAGATGTGAGCCTTAGTTCGGTCTTGCCGTTATCATTTTCCTGGGCTGCTAACTGGCTTTAATTTCTTTTGACGATACTGTAATGCAGTGTTTCCCAGTGCGGTCCTTAGCAGCCTGGAGAGCCCATTTTTGCTTCTTCACAGCACTGAGTCTTTGAGGACTGGATTGGGAAACACTGCTATAATGTTTTTCCAGTGTGTCAGGTCCTGAAAGTAAAAATCCAGACCAAGGTGTGGTTTCAACCAACCTGTTGAGTTTGAGTCTCAGTCACAGAGTACTCCGCTGGTTGGTTGAAACAAAATCTTGGTCTAGATTTTTACTTTCTGTACCTGAACTCTCCACCTCCATTATCTAGAAGGTATTAAACGATGGCTTGTTTTTGGTGTTTTTTTTTCTTGTTCTGCGGAATTTGTCTGAAGGTGTTGCTTTTGTCCCTCAGGTGTGAGGTGGCCTTGGGGGAGTTCCTTAAGGAGATTAAGAAGACACCATCCACTGTAAAGTTTGCAGAGATGGCTAACATCTTGGTCATTCACTGCCAGGTGTCTGATGAATCAAAATCGAGTAAGTGGTCACATCTCTCAAATCACGGCAATGATGGTAACATGGTAACACCACAACACACAGACACAGTATTCTGGTCAGATAGCTTCCTCAAGATGTGGGCTCTTGCATTGCTCTCTGGACTGGCCATTCCTCTCTGCTGAATGCTGTGCACAGTTTGTTGAGTATTTTCTTAGCTTAGTGGAAGAAACAAAGTACAAGCTGCAGTAAATTCCTTAAGCCAGTCTTGTGCAATTTAGCGTTCTGTAGTACAAAGACCTATAACTACTGTCAGAAGTGGCTGGATTGACATGGATGCCTTTGAGGTTGTGGCGTCACATTGGCTTCGTTAACAAAATCTCGCCAGTCACTGGCTCGTGTTTTATTCAGGGCCAATTAGATGTTTAGTGACTCATGGGCTTTTTCTGTTTACTCTCTTATATGAAGTCCTTAATGCTGCAGCAGATTAATAACATGAAGCTGCTCAGCAGTAATCCTGGCTGTGCAGTACAGTTTTAAAGAGTATTTGTGCTGAAGGTAAACCAAATTTGGGTCTTTGAAAAGATAATAAAATAGATGTGTGATGACATAACTGTGAAAACATTCCCATGATTTGGTGAGTAGCTACAATGTGTGGTATTGTTTTGAAAGGGTGAGGGTGACACTCCTTCTTTCATCCAAAGCGAACGATCTCATCCAGCTAACGGCTATGACATGGATGAGGGAGTTCATCCAACTGGCCGGCCGGCTGGTGCTCCCTTATTCCTCTGGCATCCTGACGGCCGTGCTGCCCTGTCTGTCTTATGATGACCGCAAGAAGAGTATCCTTTACTGTGAGGCTGAGCATTATGGCAAAAATATTATATTTTTTATCTTTTCACCATTACTTTTCATGTCTTTTAAGGCTATTTTGCAAGTTCCTGAACAGTACAACGAAACGAATTCCTGTATTTTAAAAAATGTAGCCCTATAAGCTGATAAAACCTAAAAGGAAAAACATGCTCGCCGTACTCTTTCTGGCGACTTCTTTCGAGGTGGTGAAAAGGTTCACCCTGCTGCCATCCAACATGCAAACCTTATCTTTGCAAATTTTATAAGTAACTGCTGTTTGCGCCGTGTCAGTTTTGGGATTCCGAACAAGTTCCATATTACTGGTGTTGAATTATTTATAGGGACCGACTCCTCTACGTCGTCCATGCTGCTATGTTGGCAATTAGGGAAAGTGTTTCATGTTTCGCATTGCATGTTCGGACAAGGGTGCGAAAAGGAGATGGGAAAAATCCAAGGCAGATTGTGGAGACATAATTGTTCACGATATAATATTGTCAAATCACACTCTCCTACTTACCATTTTTACACTTTGCTCCATCCCTGCGATTCTCTCATCTTAATTAATCTCTGTAATTGCTCAGCTTCACTCTGTGGGTTTTTGTGAAGTAGCATCATTGACAACTGGATTTCTCTATCTCTCCTGCTGCATGAGGTGTATCTTATTCCTGCCATGATGTAAGAGGTTGACTGCAAGAAATTTTGCTGCCGAAAACGTAATGTTTCATTCGGACAGAATCGCATAGAAAGCAGATCCAAAGACTAACTGTAATTGAAAGGAGAAGCAGTTCATTCTGCAAGCCTGGCACCCTTTCTCATCCTGACAGTGTTTCCTGGGTTTGTAAGCTGCTGTGTGTCTGGGGATGTGCACTCTTTCACATTTACCTTCATTTATCCAATGCTTTTTTTCTCAAGTGACCTACAGTAGAGGGTTGAATTACAATTTTGCTCCCTGGCCCAAAACATATCATTGGCTAATAATAAGGTTAGTCACTCAGTATGAATTATAGCCCCTTTTATGCCCCCACCTTAAAAAAAAAAAAAAAAATCTTAATCGCCCCTGTTTTTCAAGGTGCTAATTAACATATTTCCTGAAACCTTAAGGGTGGGACTTGCACATCCATGGAGCAGCAAGCCCTCTTATCTAATTATTTCTCGTTTCCAACCAAAGCCCTGGACTGGTTGTGGAGATCCTTGATTCGTAGTTGCCCAGGTACCAAAGAGGCTGCCAGTGCCTGCAACCACAGCTTGATGAAGCTGGTGACCCCTGAGGATGATGGTGATGAGGAGGTGGACGGGCAAGTGAGTGACACTCTGCACCGAGAGGACGGCCCCCCCAAGTCCCAAGATGAACTTGACAGTGAGTATGAACGAATGTGAAATGAGATTTGGGTTGAGTATTCTTTATGTTTGCTTCTGATTGTTGCCTAACATCACCCAAGGTGTATGGGACAGAGAGGTGAGGGATGTCCCCCCCCCCCCCGATCACAACCCAGTATTGTTGAAATACATTTGCTAATGTAATAGATGCATTTATGCAAAGCAACATAGAGTTGAGAAAGCAGAGTCAGACGATCCGTAGAGCAGCTGAGGTAAAGAGCCGAAAGTGAAACTCATCTTCCAAGGCTGTAATGGGACACATATTCATCGTTTTCAGTTCACTATGCACAATGAAACAAATTAGTACATTTATTGACATGGGCAGGACCTAAATTCACAAATAGATGTTCAAAATGCTAATTGTGGCTGTAATTCTGGTTACAGTCAGTCTGGGAACATTTTGGTTTCTCATTGTCTGTTGCTCTTCCCACACTGTGTTGCCCGCTCGTCCCACCAGTCGGATTGCTGCATTCTTTTCTTGCTCCACCCTCTCAATTTTGATTGGTTCTCTTCATGCATGGCTCATGTTTCAGGGCTGGTGCTAACTTTTCAGTTCTAAGGCATGTGCTCAGTATAGGCATAGCATTGGTGGTTCAGTGGTAGAATTCTCGCCTGCCACGCGGGAGGCCCGGGTTCGATTCCCGGCCAATGCAGGCTTCCTCTTTTTTTCTTCCTTTTCTCTCTCGCCTTTCCCTTTTCATTTCTTACAGCCTTCAGTTCAACTATGAATTTTTAAACTTTAGACAATAAGTCCATTGTGACTTACTCTCAGTGCATTTACAATAGAATTGAATAGAAGGGTTTTATTGTCATTGCTCTTCAGGTACAATGAAGTGCAATAAGCGATTCCATGAGTGATTCATCCAGTAATTAAGATCTTTAATGTCTATAGTGAAGTTTATTTTTTTTCCCCATTAACAAAATGCCTATTTTTTTTGGTTAGTAATGGTGAGCTGCAGGTTTCTGTAGGTTTTTGAGTGGTGTGGTGTCTTATCTAGGCATTGGTGGTTCAGTGGTAGAATTCTCGCCTGCCACGCGGGAGGCCCGGGTTCGATTCCCGGCCAATGCAGTGTCACTTTTTTCTTTTTGGTAATATACCTTTCACCTTTTTTTTTTAGATTCACTAAATGCATCGCAGGATTCTGGTGGGCTTAGTAATATCTGCTTCTTCACTCCTACCAGGTAGGTACAGCATGCAGAAATTACAGTGAAAAGTGCTCATATATGTTGAGTCCAAAAAAGACACCCTTCTTCAATGTCCCTATACCTAACAGCAACATTTCTGATGAAAATCCAGTTGTGAAGGTTCTGCTTACCAGATAAACCTAAGCCAAAATAATTTTTTTGCAAAATATTTTTATTGATTTTTAACAAATCACAATGTACCACTATGTATTTTAAACAAATATAAATCAGTAATGAAATATGTACATAGTGACACACAGTAGTAGTAAGATGAAATATATATAAAAATTAAATAAAAATATTTTCTCCTACTAAATGAACTAACGGGCAGAATAGAAAGGAAAACTAATAAAATGAATAAAGGCCAAATGATTTTTAAGTACACCTCTATTCTGTAGCTGGTTGGTTTCGGTTTTGGGTGGTTGCATGTCAGGCATCTTTGTTGTTTTTTTTCCAGCAGAATTCTATGTATGGCTCCCTAAATTAAGCAAGACGTCTCAGTAACCCCTCAGGGCTCTGTCATCTGGAGCTCTGGCTGACATTTGACCTGTTGCTACCTCAGGACTGTATCGCTCCTCTGTACTGTCCTGCCCCCTCTCCTGCTGCCATATGGTTCTGGCTTCAGCTTCACGCCGCTCTGCCTTTATGAACCATCCCCCCCCCCCCCAATTCCTGTCATTTTAGTTCAGACCCCCCCCCCCCCCCCCCGCGCCCCCTACCACCACACCAAAAGAAAGCACCATTGTAAAGTGTCATTCTGCAGCAGGCTGACAACGGAGCCAGCGCATTAACAACTCAAATTATGAATTAAAAAAAGTCAATAGAATAAAATACACCAGAATTATTCTTTACTTTATTCTAAACTATTTCTTTATTCTAAAATGGCTCAAATAATTAAAATGTCTGATTTGGCATTTGTGCATATATCATCACTATACAGTTAATGAATTGATTTATGAATTATGACGATGATAATGATTAATCAGTAAATAAGTGGTAACAGGTGAGGTATGTGATGTACCCCTTTTCAGTTTCTGTTAAAAGTGAATCATCTGGCAGCTGTAATATAACGTTTTTTTGATGACTAGGCCATAGTGTCTTCCTGGTGTGATCTCTGTGTATTTACTATATTAATTTGGCCCCCGTTTTAATGTGTAGAACATCTCAGGAGTCCTAGAATGAGCAGGAAGAAACTCTGCTCTCATCTGTTTGTGCTCGTACTTCTTGGGGGGTGGGGTGGGGGGGCTGCACATTCTTTAACAGTGAATGTCCACTAGATGGCAGTCTGTAGTCATGCCAGTGCTCTAGGTTATTTATTTTTTGCTTCATAAATTTGAAGTTTTGAAGACAGGAGTTATGTAACCATGAAATAAAATCTATCATTTTCGTTACTTATTAATTGAACTCAATTAATGGTGATGGGAAAGTAATCTCTTCAGAGTGACTGCTTTAGTTATGCCAGTTATATCCATCCATTCACCCATCCTTCTTCCTTCTGCTCAGGGTTACGAGTGTTTTAAGTGGAATATACAGAATATCATACAGATATCATGTTACTTGCTTATTATGGTTTATACTGCCTCACTGTCTCCTGTGAATTATAAACAGGTAGGTGGTCCTTTAAATATGTGCTTTTTTATGGTTAATTATTTTTATGAATTTATTTATTACTCAAGTTGCTTTTGTAGCAAAGCCATAAGCAGACTTTCTATCTTTTTCTGTGTTTATGTATCCGGATTGTTGGCTACTTTATGTAGTATCCGGACTGTTGACTAATTTAGCAGAGCTGTTTATCATTCTGGATTAATATTTGTTTTTTTTAATGTTTCATGTTGCATGCTAGAAATCAGATTGTTTATTTGAAAAGGGAGCAACAACATCGCTGGCACTGATACTGCGTTTTAAAGTTATTTAGCCTGGCTTAAATTGCTAGTGGTTTTAGCTAGTGTTTGACTCCAGTGTAGAGTAGCATGAGGCTAAAGGGTGGACTTAGTCCGGCTGTTCACCTGCAGCTAAGCACACCTCTCCTTTGCAGTGCTGACAGAAGCCAGGTGACTCTGGACCTGGATGGGATTGTTCAGGTGCTTGGACGTCACCTGCATGACTCTTCGACTGGTATGATGACACGCATCGCTGTGCTGAAGTGGCTCTACCATCTGTACATTAAAACCCCACGCAAGGTACGTAGCAGCCAGTTCACAGCATCAGCCTTCGCTCCAGATGGTCCACTGTAGACTCAACTTGGTCATATCCAATGAATTTCTAGTTACTTTCAGTTCCGTTTTGTCATCGTCTGTTTATTCATCTGTGTTTTTATAACCTTATTAGTTTGAATATTACACAATGTTTTGTAACAGTAAATTCTCTTGTGTTTTTCTCAGATCCCCATCTGTTTTTGTTTCCGATCTACTTAACAAAGAAACTCTTTCTCAATAAAACATTTAATGTCCCCTGTTTTGTTGCCACCAGTAGGAAATGCATTTAGTCTAAATGATTGGATGAACTTCAGGCCGGTCAGCGGTTTTTGGTGAAAGCCCTGTTCTGGGCACGGTGCCAGTCTTGCGGCCCCCACACTGAACTATTTTTAGCTTCACATTATTAGCTCTGCTAAAGTCCTTCCTGTGTGCGTTATCTTCTCCAGATGTTCCGTCACACCGATAGCCTCTTCCCCATGCTGCTGAAGACTCTGTCGGATGAGTCAGATGAGGTAAGCCCCCAGCATCTCGGTGACTGGCAGCTGACCTAATCCTTTCTAAAAAAAAAAAAAAAAAATCAATTAAGAGTTTTGAATGCCTTTACATGTCCGGGCAGCTGACTGAGAGAGATTCACTGCCCTTCTTTGACCTTTCCACTTCTTCCTTTCCTAGTTGCTTAGTCTGTTTATTTTGCTTTTTACTTTAACTTGTTTTTCTTTTTCCTGGTTTCTGACTTTTATCTTGAGGTAGCCTTACTCTGTCTGTTCTCCCCTTCCAATGATGCCATTAGTGCTCCATTGCTGCTTCTGTAACACATATTTTGGAGTTAATAATCAGTTCTGTTCCTCCCTAGTTCAATACATATAATGGTGTGGTGGTATAGTGGTGTGAGCCCTTACCATAAACACAAGCAGATAGGACATCAGTCTGCTGCCATAGCTGTTAGGGCCACTTGTGTTCACGCTGATGTAGCCCCTGTGGCTCGCGTGCCGGTTGTCGGCTTGATTAACTTGGCCATGCTTCACTGTTGTCGTCTGTGCCGTTGGCCCCAGTGGAGACGTGTAGCAGCGTATTGCTGATGTAATCCTCTGATTCTAATTGTTACCTTCGTCTTTCGCTCTGAGGAGAAGTGTGAGCTGTAGGACTGGGCCTGCTTTGTTGGTTGGATGTACCATTTTTGCTAAAAGGCAGAGTGAAAACTGTGGTATTGTTTCAGTCTTAAATGTCGGTGCCTCTGGGAAGGACTGTGGGTGTCGCTCTCACAAGGCCAGGTGTGAGAGAAAATGAAGGGAAGCCTTCCGAATTATGAGCATGTCTGATCACGCTTGTGTGATTTTTATTATTGTGTGTAAAGAGGAGTGAACCACTTGGTTGATGCATCTTGCCTGCATCTTCCATAACCACTTCCCTGGTGTATCAAAGGCCGCAACAATGGGGAACAGCCTTGATAGGATGGCAGTCCATAATGGGGCACATGCACCAGTTCATCTAAGTGTGTTATTTTGGGCTTTAGGAAGAAACCAGAATTTCCTGAGGAAACCTGTGTGAACTCCACACACAGAGCTGGGGTCAGGTTTAAACCCCATCTTGAGAAACGTGGGAACCCACTGCTATCTTTTCAGCACATTGTCCCCATTAATGCTTTCTGAGTTATCACTACTTCGCTTGTTTAGTAGAAACCTTTGTACAGGGTAACCTCTTTTAGACTTTGTTTCGCAGACAGCCTTGCACTCCCCCCACATTCATTCTTGCTAAAATACAACTCCTTTAAATGTAGAACATGTGTCCTTGTGTGGTAGAACTATTATTTAGCAACCGTCTGAGCCGATTCTGTAAATACACTCCAGCAGCCTCACATGACCGTCAGGAATGAATTTGTGCCAGTAACTCTGCACATTGTCCATGGTGCTTGGGGAGAAAGCACAGGTAGTAAATTATAAGGGTATAGTTTATGGCCGACGTTCCTGTTTTCTGCTGGCCCCTGACATTGGGGCAGGGGGGTGCGTTGTGGGGGCGGCTGTTGAATGGCCAGGACCCTCCCCATTGGCTACCGTTACCAGGTGGCACAGATCCAGGAGGCTTCTGACCGCTGCCAGGGCTAAGTGGGCGGGGCAGAGAGGAAAGCGCCGACTCCAGAGGGGTTCCGTCTGCAAATCCAGTTTGTCTTGCTTCCAGGCTGATTGTTATGCTGCACATGCTCCTGTAATATGTCAGCCTTTTTATTTTTATTTTTGCTGCTTATATTCCATAGCACTTGTCATTCTCATAGTCTGGAATAAAGAAAGATGTCTTGCCAGTAAAGAAACATAACGGAGATGTCCCATGGTGCCAAGTGCTGGAATAATCTGCCCCCTTATTGCTACTAATGCTTCTGAATCTGAGTCTGTTCTTTCCTCTGTAGATGTGCAATATTCTATTTTATGCTTAGTATATGCTTATACACGTATGCATTTTTAAAAATATTTTTTAAACATTTATTGATTTATGTTGGTTTTTGCATGAGGTCTAAATGTCTTGTCAACAGTACTGATCTTAAATTTCACTGCCTTTTATTTTTATCTTTTTTTATAGACTACTTGCATTAAATCATTCTGTTTGTGGTTTTGTTGGTGAGATGCCCATTTTGATAGATAAAGCTAAAATAACGTCCTGTAATACCGTGGAGCCAGTTGAGCTCATCGGATATTCGCAGCAAACAGAAATGTGAGACAGAATAGCAGATGTACAGAGGAAATTGAAGAGCTTCCTTAGAAGGGATTAGATGATGTCTCTGGTCAAAAAAAGTGGGATTTCGAAGCTTTAACTGCTTTTTCCTCATCTCGTACACAAAGGAAACGCTCATCCCTGGACCCACAGGGATGTTTTCATTGAGGCCTGGCCAGTGAAGCTATGGACCATGGGAAGAGGGTGTGTCAGTGGGAACCCTTGTTACATGCTGTCTTCTAGTCAATTGTGTGTTATGGATCCTGTGACCGTGATTTGCAGCTTAAAGCATAGGAGGGTGGAGCTCAAGCCGCATGCTAGTGTAGTAACTGGCCTTTGAAATGAATGGGCTCCTAATGTTTAAGAGAATGCCACGTTACAACTGCGGACAAGGTTAAACACGTTACAACTGGTTGAGATTTTTTTTTGTTGTTGATGTTTTTTTCCATTATTATTGATGTAAAAATTATTATTGAACAAAACTAGTTGGGTGGGTAAGAGGTGAAAAGGACTTCAAGGTCAAAGGGGGGTGAGGGGGGGAGTGGGCACATTCATCACAGCCAGAGAGAGGAGAGCAGTGAGCGTGGGAATGAGCCCACCCCCCCTGCCCCTTGGAAGGCCTGATGCACAATCCCAGAACAAACTCTAAAGTCTTCACTTCTGCATAAACTCTGACACGCAGCTCCCTGGCCTTGTAAGTTTCAGGGGGTCATGGGGTTTCTGCCAATGATTTATTTAACTGTTTATACATTATGTTCATCTTGAGGAGTAAGCTGTCATTTCCCTGTGCGTCAAGGAAGCTCAGTGTTTGTGAGACGGCCCTTTCACATGGACCGACAAAGACATTTGACGACTTCCCTCCCCCCGCCCGCCCCCCTTCAGTGTCGATGCGGACGCCCTGTGGACTTGCCCTTCTCTCTTGCTCTTAGGTCATTCTGAAGGACTTGGAAGTTCTTGCAGAGATCGCCTCTTCCCCGGCTGGTCAGACGGACTCCTCCGGGCCATGTGACAGCACGGGCTGCCGGCTCGAACTTGCAGTTCCAGCATCAGCCAAGCCAGGTCAGCCCACCCATTCATCTTCAGCGTTTATGTTCTAGAAGTACTAATAGAGTTGCAGCAGTGCCCTTCACTGTACTCTCACTGTGTGGTGACCATAAGATACATCACGGTGGCAGTGGGGTAGGGCTGCCACTAATGACTATTTTTCTACTGATTAATCTCGCTACTATTGCACCAATTGGTTGATTAATCTAAAAGATTAATTTGCCTCCATAAAATCAAATTGACCGTTTAAGTTAATTTTATTTTGACAACAATAAACTGTATGATATTGCAGGACTTTAGCCTATGCATGCCAGCTTTTCAGCACTAGACGGACATTATTTTCACCCAGAATTCGATAAGCAGATCAGTAGTATGTCTAAAATAGTAATGAGGCACCTATTTCGATGGCCAAAAGTTAGTATCTTTATAAATTCAGTGTATGTTTATGCTTATTAAATTCCGTTAGTGGAGCACGCCACATGTGACTGTTTTAGTAACTCATGGAAGCGATAAGAAATGAAGAAACTGACAGCTCACCATTCATACAGAGGAGATACTATGGTTAAACAAGGTAAAAGACGTTATTAGTGTGACAATACTTTTTGCAGATTTTGCGTTTTTGTTTTTTCATTTTTATTTCCGTTTCCGTTTTTCTTTCAGAACACTGGTCCCAACAAGCCCAATGCACACGAAGAGACACACTGGCACCGTTATTCAGTGTAGAATAAACACAGATTTTAGCCTAAACATTTTCACAAACACTTATTCAATGGAGATTCTATGGTAGCAGGCAGAAAATGTCATGGCTTTAATAACGAGTGTATTTAACAGCTACAAAGACAAAAGGTATTTAAACGTTCTCCATACTAATGAAAATATAATAGGCATGAATAGACAACACTTATGGTGGTTTTGCCTACTCTGACAGTCCACCCTCCAGAATAGCATCTGTGTGTTTCCTCTTCAGGTGCTCGTGCATAGTGCTAGTGCTGTTGTAGTGTGCCATTTGTTACAATGAAGCATTTCAGAAAACGTAAAGGTAATTTCATTAAAAAAACAATGCGTCAAATTAAAGTTTTGTCGACACATGGAGAATTATAGCCATCAGGGGCAATACATTTAATTTATTTTAGCTAACAATTTTTCCAAAGCAATGTATAGTTGAGGAGGCATGGTCAGACAGTCCCTGCAAAGTCCCTGCAACAATTAGGGATTAAGGGCCTTGCTTTGGAGGCCCAACGATTAAATCACCCTTAAGATCCTGGGATTCGAACGAATGACCTTCCAGTCATTGGCACAATGCCCTCTCTTTAAGAGCCAGATATCAGCCCACTAGTAATGTACAGATACACAGACTGGAATCTCCCCATTCTTTTGCCTTGTCATTCACACTGCCTCACTGCTTAAGCCCTGCTGTGCTGTGTGTTGGTGCCACGTACATGTTGCCTGAATGCTAAATGGAGTTTTGGGTGCCTTTGTATGCCAGTGGACCATCTCTGTGAAAATCAGGCCAGTGTCCCTTTCACAGGGGTCTAATCGCTTCTGTCATCCTCACTTGGGGTGAATAATTGTGGGAGAGCAGCTTCAGGGGGAGGGAGGACCTAAATGAGCCCTGGCTCATCTACGGTGCTGTTGTACTGCTGTTGTTCTTGCTGTGCCTTTTATCAGATGAACTCGGCCTGCCATGGGTACTGACAAACAGCTGGAAATATCCCCCTGGTATTGATAGACGCAACCACAGCGAATGATGCCGGAGAAACTGTAGACTACCTATATATGCCTATCTGTCAGATGATCTGAAAGTACACAGCAGCACAGATAAAAATATCCTCTGATACCGAGAAGCATCGCCACAATGAATGATAGACCTTCAGCTGTCAGAATTAAATGTGATTTTTGATGTGGTGTTATTTATTTTGGTTTATTTATATATATATATATATATATGTGCAGTTCTGTGCTTCCTTTGGGGAGATCTTTGAACCTTCAGTATCTTTTGTGTTTTTCTGGCACATGAATTAAAATACATGCACTCCATTGGCAAGACCGGCGGTCGCAGACGTCCTAGCAGTCAGTGGTTCATTAGGATCAAGCAGGCTCAGTCACTCCCCTTAATAGGAGGGCATCCTTTGTCCTGGAACAGGATGCAGCTGAGTTATAGGCCTTCGCGAAACACAGGCGTCTTGAGTTACTAGCTGCCCACAGTAGAGGGGTCGCGGTCGAGGTTGTCCTGGGACGCTGCGTAATCTCAGTGACGCAGAGTTTCAAGGTCTGTCGCTGTTTTGATTTATTTCTTCAGAAGACGTGTTTGTTCAACTTTTATAGTTCACATAAGCAGAAATGGCTAAATAAACAACAGGGACTCTTGCTAATTGTTCATGGAGCACATTAATAATGGCTCACCACAGGGCAAGAACTCTGTTTGGAGAGCATAGGATCCAGAAGTTCCCTGAATCGCAGCTGCCAAGACCTCTAACTAGTAAAGGAAATAGACAATAACATGACTATCATACATAAATATGCAGTTGAGGAAAGTACAGTGAAAAGTAAGTTCAGTCACTTTGAGCAGTGGCACATTGCAACTGAACTCAATGACCTTGAGTTGCTGGTAACATCATTGGTATGGAGTGGCCACTGTTGCTGCACCTGATGTGTGTCTGTCCTCTGCCCCAGGTTCCAAAGCAGACTCCAGCCCTTCCACACCTTCCACTCCTAGCATGAACTCCTACTTCTACAAGTTCATGATCAACCTCCTGCAGCGCTTCAGTCTGGAGAGGAAGCTCCTGGAGATCCGGGGTGCCTTTATCATCAGGTAGAGGGGGACACTGTTACGGTGTTTTGAAACCCAGCTGGGACACGGTATTGTTGTACTGAGTTATGATCGGGCAGTGGTTAGCACTGCTACCTCATACCTCTGCATGGGGGGTTCGAATCACGTGTGTGGAATTTGCATGTTCTCCCCATGCGGTTCTGGGGTTTCCTAGGTGCGACTCTGTGTACGAATGGTGTGTGTGTGCCCTGCGATGGGTTGGGCCCCAATCCTGGATTATTTCCTGCCTTGGACCCGTAGCTTCTGGGATAAGCTCCGGACTCCCGTGACCCTGAATAGTGCAAGCGGATACAGAAAAGGGATGGATGGTTTGATTGGGACACTTGATAGATGTTTATGCCTGCAGAAAGACAGGCAGTAATGTAACTGAGAACAGCTTCAAAACAGCAGCGTTGTCAAAATAAAGAATTAGGATTGTTTCACAAGATACTCTTGATTCCTGGGGTTTGTATTTACTTTGTCACAAAAGCAGTATCACTCCTGTTTTGGATCAAGATGTCTCACTCATCTGTTGGTGAAATGCATATATGTGGAATAATTTCTTAACCTTTTATGGGTTGTCTGGTGCTGTTTTACGATCGCTTGGGATCTGGTGAAAAGGCCATTTTTAGATGTGTAATGTTATGGTGTGAATGTTTAAGCCAAATGTGCTGCCTTCTTCTCTTTGAACAGAAACCAAACATTTTTGTGAATATGTGTAAAGCGAGAACCCAATTTTAACATTTCATTCCTTCTACTGTAGGTTCTCTCTCCTGCCCAAGGTATTTTCCTTAGGCAACAGACCGATTTACTACAAACTATGTCTGGAATGAGACTCGTACTGAATAATTTTGCAATGAAAATCCGAGGTTTCTAAAGGGTTTCGTAATTAAATTCAATATTACAATGGTGATTTCATCTGGACTGTAGTCCTGATAGCTTCACAAAACTAAGAAATAATATATATTTTTTTATTTCTATAGTGCCATTCTTATACTCAAGGACATTTTATAAAATAAAAACGGCAAAAACTAGGTCTCATGTAACTTGAAAATTGATCGAGACACAATGTCTTGGACACTCAGAAGAAGTGAGTTGTGGAGTTTGGAGCTATCATCCTGAAAGACCTGCAACCCATGGAGGACAGTCTAGATCAGTGTTCTGACGGCCTACCAGGAGCTGTGAAGGAGAAAAAATGTGGACTATCTGGTAGGGAACTGGAAGAGAGCAGGAACGTGGACCATCTGAGGGTCCCCGGGGACACTTTGGTATAGATGACCTAAGTGTATAAACTGCGGAGCTCAGGCTGATGAGGAAAACTAGACCGTGAAGAGCTTTGAAGGTAATGAGAAGCAGTTTGTATTGAATGAGGAATGAAACTAGTAATCAATGCAGTGTATAAAGGACTGGAGTGATTTTTGCAAGGATCTTTGATAAATAGGGCATGGCAGTGGTCTAAACGAGAGGTGGTCAAGGCATAATTCACGTTTTAGTATCCTTCACATTGTGTAGTCCACAAAGTGGAGCAAAATAAGGATTTGATAGGTGAGTGATGAAAAATAACAGCAAGGTTGTAGCCTGTGAGTGCAGTGACCTGTACTACGAAGCGAGGTTACTGGCTTATCGGGGTAACTTGTCGGATTTAAGGTACCACAGTTTAAATAGACTTCATATTCATTCACTTACATTTTGCCCAGACTACCTTAAATCCGACAGGTTTCCCCGATAAGCCAGTAACCCCGCTTTGTAGTACAGGCCACAGGTTTAACAACAACTTCATCAACCTCGGTTTAAATCAGCTTGGCTACCAACAAGTCTCTTCGATCCAGTAAGCAAACCTTCTGTTTTATTAGTACATAATTGTAAAAATCAGTTTGTCTTGCTTTTGTCATGAATGCACATGGGAGCCCAGTGGGTGGTCAGTAGTGGAGTTGCTGGCGATCCAGGTCTGTGTACCTTCAGCATCAATAAAAATAAGAGCATAGCAGCAAATGTTTTGACATTGGGGGGACCTGCAAGTTCTGAACAAGTGAGGACTTATTTGTCAGAAACGGTCACAGATTGTTTTCGTGAAGTGAAATACAGGAATGTCTGTCAGTGAGGCTGGAGGCAAAGCAGGAGAGAGCAGTCCAGTAATACCAAGAGCTGAGAGGCTTGTCTAAAGAATGTCATGGACATCAATATAAAATGCAGAGCTAAGGTCATGGAAGAGAAGGATGATGAGGGCCTCAGAATCAGCGGCAAGGAGGAGATGCTTAACAACCCTTCGGGAGCTGTCTTAGTGCTATGAAGAGAGCAAAAACCTGATTGGAAAGGCTCATAAAGATTACAGGAAGCTAAGTGGGCCGGAAGCTAATTGGCAACGACCTTTGGTCCATAAGTCTTCAGTTGAGTGGAAACCAAGTTTCTTGTGAACAGACATGACTGCAGCATTTTTTAATGAAATGGAATGATACTGGTGTGTTTTATCAGATAAACACGTTTTAAGATGTGTGTTGGGGTCAGGGTCTAATTGACAAGAGGAGTTGGTATCACGATTAAATCTGTGTACCTCCTGTTCACTCACTCGTCCTCTTTCACAGAGATGTACAAAGCTAGATGGACTGTGATGGATTGAATCAACTTTATTTTGACAAAAATGAAGAAACAATTCATGTAACTGAGAGGTTTCCAAGCGTCAGGAGGAATTTATAGTAATACCAAAAAAGTGTTTTAGGTCTATAGCTAGCATTATTTGTAAGAGGAATAATGGAATGATCAGGCAGCATTATGGGGAATTTTATAGGTCTTCAGTTGTTCACTTTAGGCCTGAGCGTGAACTGAAAGATAAATTTTCTTACAGAGCTTCTTAAGGTGTCGCCCAGTTTTTTTTTGTGGCCTGAAGCTCAGGAGGAAGGCGATGAAGCTTCAGGGCTATTTTTAACAGGAGCATGTTCATTTAGGAATCACGTGGTTAAGAATCTCCACAAGACCAGCTTTTAAGTTTTAAGAAAATGTAAGATGGGTAAAGCACAAATGGAGACTGGGAATGATAGAGGACTAATTGATTTACATTTTTAAAATTTGCTTGATTTAAGGAGAAGACAACTAAAATTTTATTTCAGTCAGCTTGTATGCAGAAATACCAGTCTGTGAGCCAGCAGTGTTTTGAAGATCAGAGGGTTGGATAAGATTGTCTATGACCAGGTTGGAAAATGAATACGCTGTGCGAAACTTAAAGCCTTCTATTGTAGACAAGAATTCACGAGAGGAGCAACATACAGGATCAACATGTATATTAGAATCATCAAACAATGTAACAACAAATGTCATGGCCAGGTAAGAGTGAGTAAAGAGCTCAGAAACATCAGGATGAAGCTTAGGAGGTCAGTATATTACTACAAGTAGCTAAATCTGGCCAACAACTTTAAATGGCTTATTTTCGAAAGATGAGATGTAGGACAAGTCAATAGCAATCGTTTTTTAGTTATCGTGGAAAACAGCCCCACCCTTGCCGCGTATGCTGGGCTATGAAAGATCACTGCAGTCACGGGGAGGGCGCAAGTTCAATTACTAATAGTCAATTGGTATTTATTTGCCTTGTTTTAGTAAGCAAGAGCATGCTGAGGTTTTTTGTGGCTAATTGAGATGTCAAATAATGTAGCTTTGTTAATGAATGAGAGTTTAACTGTACTGGGTAATAGAGTAGCAAAGCATCTTTCACAGTTACAGTACTTTGTCTTTTATCCAGCATCACTGGGAGTTTAAGTTTCCATCCCAATTAGAAGGTAATGCGTATGACTAACCTGGCAGACCTGTTAGTGAGGACAGCGGAGACAAAACCACGGTCACTACTGTGCGCCGACAGCGTGGGGGCCGAAAACTCCCAGCTCCAGAGGTGGAGGTGGAAATCTGACTTTGGCTGCAGGTGCATACTATCGAAAGTCACTCCAATAACTGGTGAATTAGAGGGATGGGCCAGTGGTGTTATGTCACAGACAGAAAAACAAACTGGGATAGCATGGGGTACTGGTGTGGAGCTGAGGCCGGATGTGCACAGTATCCTCCCACTGGGTACTGCTCTCGTACTGATTCCAGAGGGGAATAGATGCACCATCTCTTAGGGCGGATGGTTACAGTACACGGTGAAATCAACATGAAAGAAGCGGATTTAGTCGTCGTAAAATTTGTGTCTTCACACAAAAATCTGCTCTGGATCATGGAAGTTAATTCCTCTGTTGTAAATAAAACAGTGGACGGCGCTTTGGAACAGACTTGCACGGTACCTTGGGCTAGCAGGAGCATTTTCCATAACCTCAGTTTACCCCATGAGTAAATGCAAATTGCTGCCTGGCACAGAGATTTAAAAAGGGAGGCTGTCCAAATCTGTGGGGGAAAAGAAAGTTTACATTTTGCACCAGTTGCTACCTTGTCTGATCCATCATGGCTTTGTCTGGTCACACAGATAGTGACATGGTTTGTATGCTGCTGAACTTTGGTCGACGATTGCAGTTTACTCAATCTTGATGGCTATGATTGTAGTGTATGAATAGAGCTGTAATCTTCCTGACATTGCTTTCCGATTTCAGGGCTCTCGATACCATATTAGGAAAGCTGTTTCAGGGATCCTTACATATTGTGTTTCTATCCGGGCTGGGGAGACATTCTTGGCTCAGCACATGCAATGGAACGTAAACACCATTACTTCCAGTCTCGGTGTCCTCCCTCAGCTCAGCCTGCCTAATGAAGCCTTTCTCTGTCAAGGTGTCTGCTCAAGTTAGAGATTCAGATTTTAATGAGAGATTTCATTGGAAATGTTACCGCCACATTATTACTGTCTATGAATGCTCTGCTGACTGTGGGCTAGAAAATAGAGAAATAGAGAGACCTGACCAGTTTAGCTCTCCTTAAAAATGGACCTGAAATTTTATGAAGGACAGATTTTTTTATTTTTTAACACTCTGACCCCTGCTTCTATGACTCTGACCCCTAGTTCTTGACTCGTGGGGATGTGGTTGACTTTTCTTTTTTATACTGGTGTTTGTCAGATTATTTGCTATGTATTTATGTCATACTTTTGTAAGAATCCTGCTTGTAGTTTCTGAAACGTAGTGATGATAATACTAGCGTTAGCATAGGTGCTTGGTGGGTAGCACTGAGGCTTTTTGGTGTTTTTCTCATGCCATGGTCCAGGAATAGCAGAGCACAACCAGCCCGTGTTAGCATCACGGTAGCTGTCTTAATGTTTGCGGGGTGGATGTGCTTTGGGCCTTATGATGGCTTTGGTACGGCTTACTGGGAATGTGATCCATGTTTTTCCGGTGTGTGAGGAATGCAAGCTGATGGGTTCAAGTTGAATACTAGCATCAGGCCCATGCGCTTATGGTCACTGGGCTGGAAGTGATGGAGCACTTTGATTTTTATCAGTCCCTTATCCCCACCTGTGAGGTTGAGGCCTAGTTTTGGTCTTACCTGTAATGTTTGTTATGTTTTCAGTTCAGGACCGAGGTGCAGATGAGTCCTGAAAGGTTGTTGGCAGGGATGACAAACGTGCTGGTATGTTTGTCACCAGAATGGGTCACATGAATACACCGCACGGCCTGAGGGTGATTACTGCAGTGTTTACTAGCTCTATAACTGCTGACTCTACTATTTATTTACTTTTTATTTTTCATATTTAAAATTCTTAATTTTCTATGCATATCTACAAACCCCGTGAGAGATAATGGTTGGTGTTCTGAGGTAGCAGCAGCTTCTGTTGTGGTTTCTGGGTATGATTGTAAAAGGTTGACTGGCAGGTCTCTGACAGGCTGTATCCATGTAGGTTTTTATCCTCTCTTCAGAGGCGTGGCCTGTCATCCAGCTGTATAAATGTCTCTCCCTGTTATTGTAGTTATTTAGCATAAGTACTGGATTCGATCCTCTCTCATTAAGGCAAACCTTAACTCAAGGCAATCCTTGGGTATACTTCTCAGCAGTCACTAATTCATCCTCTCTTTCTCTCTCTCTCTCTCATCTCCCCTCCCTCTTCAGACAGTTGTGTCTGCTTCTACATGCAGAGAATATCTTCCATTCCATGGCAGACATCTTGCTGAAAGAGGAAGACTTGAAGTTTGCTTCCACCATGGTGCAGACGCTCAACACCATCCTGCTCACGTCTGCTGAACTCTTCCAGCTTCGGAACCAGCTCAAGGATCTGCGCACACAGGTTCGGCAGCTGCTGCTTTTGGCTGTCCTGACACCTGCTATAGCAATAATTGGTCCTCCGTTGGTTGGCCATGAGCCTATATTGGCATAACTGGAGAATGTGGTACTGAATCGAGATTCTATATCTCAAGTGTGTGAAGCTCCATCAGAGAGTGTAAGAGGTGAAGGTATATTAAGAATTGTATAAATTGTGATGTTTGTCATCTCTACGGAGGAGACTGTGACATGTATAGACTTTCTGCTCTCATACATTCCCGCAGGAGAGCTGTGACCTGTTTTGCTGTCTGTATCGTTCTTGGTGTCATAACCCTGTGGCCACAGTCTCCCTCTGCTTCCTGACCCAGAACTACCAGCATGCCTATGACCTCATCCAGAAGTTGTATCCTTCACATGCACTCTTCTGTGTATTCACTGCAGAGTGATTATGAATACCAACTCAGTGCTGGAAGGTTCCTTACCCTCAGACTTATGCTGATTCTTGCAATCAAATATGTATTTGGGAAGAATCTGTGAGGAACTGTGTCTCTGTCTCTCTGTGCCTGTATATCTAGGGCCTGTCTGTCTGTTTGTGTCTATATCTAGGGGCCTTTGTCTCTCTGTACTATGTACTGTCTGTGTCTGTGCCAGTATATCTAGGGGCCTGTCTGCCTGCGTCTGTATATCTATGTGCCTTTGTCTCTCTGTACTGTGTACTGTTTGTGTCTGTCCTTGTATATCTATAGGTCTGCCTGTCTGTCTGCCTTCTGTAAATGTATGTCACAACATGGATCCTGCAGAGAAAAGCCTATGTGCTGGCTGCAATGAATGTTTTCCCATGTTGGCGTGTGGAGGAGAGGACATTCCAGTCCCTGATACGATCCTTGTAAATAGCACTTCTGTTTTGGGAATGCATATGTTCCATGACCTCTGGGGTTCTGGGAGGGGGTGACCTGTCAGTAGGGGGTGTGTGTGCAGATCCTATAACCTCTCTTCACCAGTGAGGCATCTCATTTATTCATGTATATCTCTCTCTGTCGTTTGCCATGTTTATCCCAATCTTATGCAACCATGCAAGGTTATGAACTGATAATGGCAATTTGAGGATGTTGAAACTGCAAACTGTGCTTAATGTGGAGATGTACAGCTCAGTCGTGCGTGAATTCTTCCTTGCATCTTTGGGTAGGGTTATTGGATATCATTTGGGTGAAATGTCAAGCTGACATTTTTCCCACTGTGGTGGTGTAGAGTTTGCATTACTATTACCTGTAGAGGAATCAACGTTGACTCAAAACTGACTGTGCTTTTGGGCTAACCAGCTGAAAGTTTCCCAGCTAGTCACCGAAGACAGCTTTGCCTTCAAGATCAGTTACATCGCTGAGGTCAGAAGTTCACATTGCATTTTTTCCTGTTTTCATCGCTCTTTAAAATTGAACCCCCTCTGTCTTATTATCATTCCTCAGCTCTGCTGAGTGTCCTCTGTTTCCTGGTCTTCACTCCCGTCCTTCATTATTTTTGGTTTCAGGACTCCTGACATTCTTCAGCAATATGAGGGACACTAGCACACTCCAAATGAGAATTGCCTCTGAGGTCCATTGCTGGTCTGCATTCTTAACTAGACCATGGCCGGCCCAAAGGATTTTATTTAGCTTCGGCTGAATCTTGTGGAACACCAGGGTGATATGTAATATTTAAATGATTGGATCTGCTGCTTTCCAGTAAGCATACAGATTCAGTCATGCTATGTCTGTGACAAAGGGGTGGGGTGCAGAATTGAAAACCCTGCACTCTGTAACTAAGCAAACTCTGTCGAGTGAGGCTGGTTCCAGCGCGGTCCTCTTCCACACCATCAGTTAAACACAATAACCCTGAACTCCTCTCCATCTTCTTTTTTATAAGCGGCCAAAGTGGAGCAAGCACATTTAACCCCCCCCCGCCCCCGGCTCAGCTGGACTCCAAGCTTGGTGTCAAAGCACCCTGTTTTTGTTAGAATTTGGGGGGAGGGACCCCCTGAGAGGTGGTGGGGGTTTACTGCACCAAAAATGTAGCGTTTCGAGCTGTTTTTTCGTCTCTGGAAGTTTGTGTGTGCGAGGGGCCCCCCAGCTGACCTGTGTCAGCTGTAATTGTGCAGATTGCAAATGAGTGGTGACCTTAAATGTTTCGATAGTTCATAAGTAAATCGGGGAGAAACATGGGAGCAAGTTCAGTTCAGAAAATGATACAAAAAGCAAGAATATGTGAGTGTGTGTCTGTGGGTTTGTTAAAGCTGTGTTACTTTAATAGGTCTTGAATTGCAGTCTGTATAAAGCTTTGAATTTGTGGGGTGAATATTAAGAGACCTGGACAGCATACTCAGGAGTCTCATACCAGTGATTGGGGGATTTTTATAAATGTGGACACATCTGTTGCTCAGTATATTCTGTGTGTAATGTTTGTGTGTAAGTGAGGTTCTGAATAATAGAAATGAACAAATTTTTGTACAAGATAATGCCCATGTCTGACATCTGGTCATTACTGTGATCTGTGGGTGTGGAGGGTGTCAAATCACCCATAATTGTTCTGCCTTTATTGTCCTGTTTAGACTGTTACAGAATCTTAATTCCTGCAGCGTAAGTGAGAAAAATTACAGCTGTTCTGTCACAGAAAGAACAAATTATAATTGCCACATGAGAAAGCAGCACAAATTATTTAGGCTCACTGACTTTGAAAGATTAAAATGTGTTTTTTCTCATCCTTTTCCAATGGTGACCCCCCTCCCCCCATCTCCATGACGACCAATGGAATGGTTTGTTCTCATTGATCCAGGCCATGCCCTTTTGCGGCCTCTGTCCAGTGACAGAGGTGATGTTCAACGGCAGAATGACATTCACCAATAGCAAGAGAAGTTTGCTGTGACAAAGATTAACGTCATAGACCTGTGTCCTTTGTTAATATATTAGTTCCCTGGAAGTTCTGAAATGTTGTATTCATTAAATTTATGTATAGATGCAAAACATAATGAAAATTTTCACTTGTGTTTCTTACAACTCAAAAATGGATATTTAGTATGGTGTGGTATTGCTATTAGCTGCTCATATTTCAGTTTCCTAAATACTGACCGAAGAGTGGAGCCCCACAATTCTTTTTAGTATTTTATAGATGGCCCTCCCTTTTGCATAGGTTTTGTTTTCTTTAATATACTGTGGCGGGTATGACGTAATTGTCCTTGACCTCAGCTTACCAGCGGCGATCTGGAAGTGACTGTGGATTTCCTGATGGAGGTGGACAAGTTGGTGCAGCTCATCGAGAGCCCCATCTTCACCTGTAAGTGGCCCCCAGTGCTTGTGCCTCAATCACTCTACCTGGATCTTCAGCTCACTTCAGTTCACTTGTTAGCGTCCAGGGGTACAGAAAAGCCAACTGCCAGACGGTTCTCATGCCTGTTACTCTGTGCTATTCCTTGTGTACTGAGGTGTTTAATATTTAGTTTTTGCTGACAGCATGTCCTGTTTGTGTGTATTCATGCCTTTGCATGATTACAAAGCTGAAAATGAAGCCGCACAAATGACACACACACACACACACTTTGTTGTGTCATTTCCCATCTATAGTCAGCAAACTTTCTCATAATGGGCCAAAAGAACTCGTATGTAATATGTTTAAATGACAATACATTTTAAAATCTGGCACGTGTACAAAATTTGATTGTGCCAGTGGTCCAGTGGTCATGCCAAACACATATAGTAAAATGTTAAGATGGGCGTTTATCTAGTGGTTGTCATTATGGTCTCCTGCCTTGGTCCCCTGTGTCTTCCTCACCAGACCTGCGCCTGCAGCTGCTCGATGTGGAGAATAACCCCTACCTGATCAAGGCTCTCTACGGCCTCCTGATGCTGCTGCCCCAGAGCCAGGCCTTCCAGATGCTCTCCCACCGGCTGCACTGCGTACCCAACCCTGAGCTCATGAGGACCGTGTGAGTACTTGTACACGGACCGTGACGGGTGGGCAGAACTCATGAAGCTCCTCGAACTTTATTAGCCCACCGAAGGTGTAAACTTATTGATCTCAGCCAGGTTTAACCCAAGATGAACCAAAACAGTAACCAATAATTGTTATATTACAGTTGATTACACTGGGATAAAGCAATTTGTGTACTTGATAATCCCACACAGTGTGGGTTGAGAAGCCTCATTTTACCTAAACAGCTCTACCTCCTGCCATTTGATAGTATCTACTCTTAAAATTGAGTGAAGGTGAGTTTGGTCTAAATGAAGTCTGAGTTCACATTTTCCGCTAGGATTCTTATTCAACATCCACGGTTGTTTATCTGACAGATCTATTTGTTCTTGTCTCTTTGCGTGGTCTTAGTTTTCCCCCTGAGGACATTATATGTGTGGGATTTTCCTAATCTTCAGGACCGTATGGAGTCCCTCGGATAAAAACCTCTGATCTCTCTCTGCTTGTTCAGAGGTAGTATCAAAAGACTGAGACAATAAGTGTTTTATCTGTGTTATCAATGCATCTCTGGAGGCCTGTTTGTCACATGTCATGCTCATTTGCAGTAAAGTGTACAGGTTGAGGTTGTCTGGAAGAGGGAATGCTGCATAGATAAAATGTTTGTTGTACCTCATATTCATTTGTTCCAATATCTTTCCTGCTGTTTATCTGTTAGGCGTTGTTAATAAATGGTATATTGCTACATTTTTGAATTACAGTGGGTTGTCTACACAGAGGAGCCTTGCTGGTTTTGATTGTGAGCTGAGCCAGCTGACAATGCACTGTGTCTCAATAAGAGTCCTCCCTTTTTGGAATGATGTTGCTGACATGGTCAAAAACCCCGAGCCAAAGGAAAGAATTTTGGAAAGTGTCCATTGTTGTTTTTCCATTGGCGTGGTTCCCCTGGGATGGCTCTTCAGAGAAACTCATTAGCCCTCTTCAGCACATTTATTAAGGAATCAAATAATGTTTGCCGTGATGGAATGACTTCCTCCTGGTGTCCCCTGTCTCGTGGCCTCAGCATTCTGGGACAGTCTCTAGGCTCACTGCAACCCTATACTGGATTATCAGGGAAATTTAATCAATGGAATTCTGTTTGTAAAAACTGGGGTTATCATACCATTTTTATGATTTTTACTCAGTTGTATTCTTATCTAGAACAACATGCAAGGCTTCAGAGGCAAAACATCCATGCATTAGCACTAACTGTGCTAAAATGTCATGCTAGAAAGTGATCGTAAGCGTTCCTGTTAAACTTTATATGGTTAGTTTTTAAGGTCTGTACCTGGTAAGACGGTCCGGATGGCATATCATTTATTTTTACTGTAGTCAGAAAATAAAAAGCTTCTGTTCTGAAATTTTTGTTTATTCCCATCCAGGCTTTAGGGAAGTGTAGTGTTTTATAAGTACTTCATAATGATTTCCTGTAAGGCTTACTGAACATGGCAGTTTTAGATGACAGGAAGGCCCAGAGATGACAGAAGCTAAGCCTGATATTTGACTGAAAGTCCAGGCTAATCCAGTGAGTCAGTGAGACATATGCCAAGTGCCCCAGGACATTTTCCAGCCACGTCACCCACAAACCCACCCTCTAAAGTGCCGTCTTCCACTTCCTGTTTGACGTTGAGGATCACCGCCTGTCCGTGTTTCGTTTGATGTCATTTCTTAAGTGGCTGCTTTGTTTGTGTCAACCTTGTCGTTCCAGGCCTGATCTGAAGAGCTCTCCCGGCTCCAGGTGTCCGGCCTCCTCACGTGTCGACTATAAAGAATTGCTGCAGCACTTCGACCGGGTCCAGAGGAAGCACCTGGAGGTTCGGCACCAGCGGGCTGGACGGGCCGAGTGCTCCGACCGGAAGCTGGTGCTGTGAAACCCGAAGGAAGCCGATAACCAAGATCACCATTATCACCAGAAAGACACTTTAGCGCTAATGCAGTTTTAAACTATTGAACGTTCTGTAGGCATGACGTATCCGCTGCCCCTTTTTTATGAGTTTCTTTTTTTTTTATAAATAGCTTTGATGGAGGCGCCATTATGGATGCACATCTACAAACATGAATTTACACCATGGTCGGGTCCAGTGCCATGTTAGTCAAAGCTTGAATATACATTATTATTATTTTTTGCTTTTGTAGTTGTTGGCTTTTTTTCCATTTGTCCATAAGTGTTCTCTCTTACTCATTCTTTACTCACTTCCGCATCGGCCACGATGTCCGTCAGCTGTCAAAAACAACGTGGATGAGCTACACACGACACTCTCCTTGGTCTTAAAGCTTGAAGGCTGTTTTGGGTACCTGAAGCTGTGCTTTCTGGCCTGGCAGTCATTTGTAAGAAGCCCGTTGTCAAACAGTCAACACTGGGGGGGCCCAAACCTTTAATTATAATATATATTGAGGAAGACATTGTGAGTCTGAATATTGGTGGGGGACCTGTACCCCCCATTATATATTATAATTATGACCTTGATTTGAAATGTCTTAATCTTGGAAGAGTTTTGGAACAGATATTCTGTTTACGTTTTATCTCCTGCTCAGTCTTGGTAGATGCACATTGTTGTCTGTCCGAGTTCCCTCCTTTTCAGATGTTGTCTAACTTCACTTTCTACCATTTATTTTTTATTTTTTTATATCTCCTCACCTTTTCCTCACCATCCCATCTCTGTCACTCCCCCGTCTGCTTCCAGCCTCCTGCCCCTCTTGCATGCTTCCCCAGAACCCCACGGTCTCCTGTGAAATGACTGCTATCTGCTATAAGGAGAGAACTCCAGTAAATCATGGACCATATGTTATTACTTTACTCTTGTCTTTTTTCTTCCACTGCCCATCTGCTGCTTCTGTGGGAACAAGGTCACACAGTCATCCTCCTCGCCTTTTTGTCAGCCCAGCAAACCAAGGCAGTGTATCCTCAGCCGTGGGTTGTTGGTTTGTGGACATGATATGTCCAGGATTAAATTATGTTAATCATTAGCAGTTTAAACTTGTCAGCCATTGTGCTGTTGTAAGATCAATGTGCATTGAAACACAAGTCTGAGTAATTCCTGTGCTTGGATGTAATTAAATGTATTAGTCGACAGTTGAATTAAAATTTAGTTTTTAAGGTGGATAATATATTTGTTTATCTATAAAGATGCACGTGAGAGAAATTCAGTCTACTTCCATCTTCTTTATATGATGATAAAATAGAGAAATTAGCTATGAATTTAAAGGCTAGAGGTGAATCAAACCATTGAATAGGAGACTGAATCTGGGTTAGTGGTAGGAAGCTGGATAGAATGGACACTGGAGCGGCGAGTACGTCGGCTTTCGAATGTGGTGGGAATACAGTGACAATGCGGCCCTTTCGATGGCCCCGCTGAGCTGTGTCCAGCTTGGCAGGCGACCACGCAAGGCAGTGCCAGTAGAAGCCAGGACCTGCCAGCTTATTTGGAAAGTTGCACCTGCTTTCAGAACCACAGCTCAAAGCAGACACCAGAAGCCTGCCATTCAGAGGTGAGGTCCTGGTCTTTGACCGGCCAGAGAGAAGGACCAAGATGGGACAATGACCGTTGCCTACCTTGGATGGGAAAGAGCTGGCTGTCACTGGTCACTGTGGTCAGCATGACCCACAATTTAACTTAATATATTTTAACCAGCGCTCTGGTGCGGAGCATAGAAAAAGCGCTAACCTTGTTAAGTTCCCAGACAAGAAGCCCCAGCCTGCTGCTATGTCTCAAGGAGACTTGATAATAATAATACGATCCAGCTGTGCACAACTTAAATTTCTAAATTGTAACACATTTCTTGAACATATTGACGATTATAAAAGTAGACCATTAATACACCGTTTCACCCATACTTTTTACGGTGATTTAAAGACTATTATCGAAACTGACTTACTCGGGATAATTGCAAAATTCAGTGTCAAAAGTTAGTATTGAAATTTTCTCACAAGTTTAAGCTGTTTCATGGACTCAACCACAGTTTCTGACAAATATGGTGGATGTGATAGGGAAGCGCTATTTACGTTAACACCCTCTAGAAAGTGCTCCGATATCCGAAAGGAAGTTTTAACAAGTCAGCACTTAGAGCTGTCAACCTGCAGCTGATTTCCATTTAAATTAATGTAGCGAGTAACGTGGCTTATATGTGCACAAAATCTGTTAGCGCCTGCGCGCTCCTGACTGTGGGATTGTTACGAAGTGCACGTACTGTTTTAAGTCTTGGGCTAAGCTTTGCGCTTTACACTTGTAAGTTCCTTAACTTTAAGTAAATAGCCGACTTGTAAATGGGTGAAATGTGAGAGAAATTAATCTTTGAAATTAGGCTAGACTCAGACATATTAGTCTTATGCATGTGCTACGAATTGTAAAACCCGTCTTAAAGTCGATTTTGCGGGGAGTGTACACCAAAGGCGGATGAATGCCGTTAATCAGTCATTGATTTCCTGGATCTTGTATCGGCCTAAATTATCCACACTTGAACGCTTCAGTGTTTTTATTATTAAAATTCGATCAAAAGTGACTTGCGCCAAATAGCTTGAACTTTTGCACTATATTAATTTAGTCATTTATCCCGGTAAATAGCACGTGAACCTTGAAATCAGGAGATGTAACTTTGCAAGTTTGCATACTTGCTTAATGTTTATAAACACAATTGCATATGTAGTTTTGTCCTAAATACATATCTTAAATGTTTAAGAGTAGGTTTCATTACTGTTAAAAATTGTACCTAACTTATTTTATGTACCATAGCATTAATGGTATTTTAGTCCGAATAACAAAAAACAAGACGTTCACTTTTCTCCCTTTTACAAGAGTCTTCCAGACAAAGCACCTTGCATTTTCAGCTTAAGGCGTCCCTTCAAGCACGCTGCGGTTTCATTTGCAAGGCAGTAAGTCTCCCCGAAGTGGACCCCCCAGCCATGCACCCAGCCATGCACCCAGCCAACCCCTTTAGAAAGCGACACAGGATACGGACGCGCTTGTGTGCCCGTATGTTGGTCTGGGCGAGGAGGCGTGTGACAGGGAAGCCGGCGGACGGGCCCCCCTCCGATTCCCATGGATCGGATTACAGCCCTTCCACTCCACAGCCTCCAGACGGCTGCCTACAGTCCAATCACTGTAAACCCAGCGCTCACTGGGGGACGCCTTTTCACATTTTGATTTGCCTCTGTCTTATTTTATCCTTTTTTTTCCAAGAGGCTCATTCTGATTTTTTAAATCGTTCTCTGAGGATAAAAATGCCCTTCCGGCCGTATGTCCCCGTGTTCTTCTGCCTTGAAGAGTAAATCCGGGCGTGAGAGGGGAGAGAAGAAACCTCCCCACTCTTCATCACACGCTGATCGTAAACGGGGTAGAGAAAAGGGACCACCGCCAGCACTTCATCTCATTTGTTTATTATTTTCTGGCAATCATAAATATACATCCCTGTTTCCAGGGAGGGAGGGCACAGTGGAGGAGAAGAAACGCCGAAAGTCACCATCTCTTCATTGGAAATAATTGATTTTTTTTTCTCTTATTTTAATTTGGTCTACTAAATAATTTGTGAAAGGTGGATTTGTTAACATGGAGACGGTGGAAAAAGAGTGTGGAGCGCTTGGAGGGCTCTTCCAGGCAATCGTTAATGACATGAAGGTACTGTATCATACCATATAACAAAAATACACGCCAAATAAATGAAATGTAAGGCTATTCGTATGCGGATGCACTTGTCCCCTTTCTCTAGCACCCGCCACCACTAATTCGACTTCACTTGTACGGGGTTGTTTTTTAATTTGGCGACTAATTTTTTACCTTTATTTTATGCACGGGGCACAGTTTGTATTTTTATGCGTGAAGAAACGGCAGTTGTATAGTTGTACATTTAGGTATTAATAGTAATTTTAAGTCCTGAGCATGTGTTAGGATGCAGCTTAACATTAGGTTAAATGACTGGTACAACAGAAAGCCGACGTGCCTGCAAACAGTGCTGTCTAAGCCAATGCCTTCGCAATCACCCGCAGTATTATGTTGCTTTCTGTGTATGAATGTCATAGCTTGCATATTTGTCCCGCAAATGGAGAAAATCCAAATAAAATTTTTTTTACCGCAATTTTAAAGGGCTGGGGAAATCTATACAATCCGACAACCTGAGTACTCAGAACTAATATATTCTTAGGCTAAACATCGCTGATCCTTTTCAAGCGCGCAAAAGTCAATGTGAACTTGAACGGCTACAACCTTAATTAACGGCTTCCCTGTTATTGGTGTCTCATTCATAATTTAACACTTATTTTCCTGAGTGTTTCATGCCTATCCTCATCGTCTCTGAACTGAATCTGCTGAATTCGGGGTCACATTGTTGCCACAGTGACAGCTGTGCACACGGACGGACGGAATAGCTTCAGTAATCGCGGTTGTCGCTGTGGTGCTGGTGTCACTGAACTCCAGTGAAAAGCCTGTGCACTAAGAGAAAATGCATTCGCAAAAGGCATATTTGCAAAAATTTAAATCGAGAGAAGAAAATTAAAAATATACGTGGATGATATACATAATAATGCAATACCTCGGTCTTAAAAGCACCCCGAAAAGTGTTCAGTTAGTATTTTTGGTATAATTTGCATATGGTCTACATATGTTAGGTCTGTGAAATGATGGTTTGCATTAAGGGTGCGGTAAGACTGGACCGATCTTAGCCGCTGTAGTTAACTACCCTGAGGAGTGATCTTAAGTGCTCTGGGAGTTAAATAAAAAAAAAAAAAAGGTTTAATGATTCCCATGGGAAACTTTATTTTCTTCTTTCAAAATTGAAACACTCTGCTGTTATTTGCTTTTCTTGCCTGTTCCATAGAATAATGCTGTCGGTTATGTTTTCACCATGTCATCTGAGTAACTGGGCGATCACAAGACGGGGGGTCGTAGCATGAAATATCCATAGAAAAGAATGTGTCAAGAAAATTAAGTTGCAGCCATAGCCACAAAACTGGAAAAAATAAAGCTAATTAATTCCACAGCAGAGAATGTGCATCATAACTACGTAAACCAAAATTAGAAAAGCTAATGAAGTTTTTTTTTTTAAGTAGGCTATATTTATTTTTGTGACTTCATGTTTATTTCATACTGGGTGGACTAATCCATGCATGATATGGGCTATATTTTATTGATCTATCTTTGTCAAGAAAATATATCCAAACTGTTACATTCTTAGGCATTGAGACCTCCAAATTGCTGCAGCTTTCAGCCTCCTCTGTGTCATTGCTGAGTAAAGGAAATACTCAATGAAACAATTTAAGATGTCATTCTACATTCCCAGTCTGTTATTGCTGGATGCAGGGGACCTCTGATTGTTTTGAGAATTGTAGTTTAATTCCCCGTGTCATTTTAGGAAAAGTTGGTTGTCTTCATGCTGCTTATCTGGCCTGTTGTGTTATAAGCTGAACAGTGTCCTGGATTGTACAAACTATGGATTGGGCAGCCTGTTTGTTGTAATTGCCTTTTCTGCCTTCATCTGAAACCGCCCCTCCTTGGCCTTGAATGTCATCAATGCCATTGAGGTCTCACTTTGAAAAGTAAAATCTTAAATCAGAAGTTCTTGCTTTGATTTTATGGTGATTCCACTTTGCCAAGATATTATCGCACGCGTCAGTCACAGTCGCAAACACGTGTCAAAGTGATAATGATTAAAGGGGACAAACTGGGTGGGTCCCCATCACGTCTCCTTGCATGTTAGCCGTTCTACAAGGGCAGTGATGGCAGAACCAGCAGTGTCTCTGCTCGGCTGGTTTCTGGTCTGGCACATTACAGCTGAATGTGATCTTGTTTTGTTCTCACGTTGCTGTTGGATGGATGCCAGGCTTTGATTTTTTTCTTTTTTTAATTTCTTGAAGTAAAGCTGTCGCAGCCATTATTTGCTGACAATATAACTGTCATTGGTGGCAAGGAATTATGAAGTAAGTGTTTTTTTTTTTAACCTAAACTCTTAAAGATTATGCAACTGTGGCACCATACACTTTGTTAATCATTCTCTGTTCCTCGAAGGCAGTATGGCTCTTTATGTTTAGTCATTTTAAGAAGAACCTCATAGGTGTTTGACATTAAACCCATCTTTTAATCTGGACTGGACTCGTTTTTTATCGAAACTTGAAATACATTTGAAACTTAAATAAATCCATGAATGAATCCTTGGAACAAATCCATTGGTGGTCTAAGAACCAGTGGTATTGATGGTGGTGGGCCAGATGATGATTTGGTGAGTTGGGTTAAAAAACAAAACAAAACAAAAAAAACCGCCCACAATGTTTCTTAGAAAAGAAACCTGCCTGCAGTTTTCGCTGAGATGAAGAGCCATTCAATGACCTTTCCACCGGTGACAAAGCAGAAAATGGCCATGCAGAGGTCTTTTTACGGAACTGCCATTGATTTTATGTCTTTCTGAGCCTCGCCGTCATACAGGACAGCAAATTGAATGCATTAATTTATAGGGAGCAGATCCCGTCTCACAAATAAAGAAACTATGGAAATAGAGAAAGTAGTGCCTCGCCGGAGGGTATAAACCAGGCAGGCCGGGGGTGTGTGGGGGTGTGAGCTTTCCTTTTTTTCTTTCATGACCACAGTCTTTGGTTTGATCCTGCTGTCTTTCACACGAGTCAATGAGATGTTTGGATGGACATGGTAGGAAATGCAAATTAAAGAGGATGCTGTTCAGTTGTTTTTTTTTTTTTTGCCTCAGCTAAAGCGCCCGAAATGAATTCTTGTTAATCAAATGCTTATGCATTTATGTGCATCCATCCATCCATCCATCCATGCATCCATTCGATTATCTTGTGTCTTCATTTAGCGGCAGCTTCTATCCAGCCTTGCACGCTACTCAATCCCAAACAGGACCCATGAGGCGCCTGTGATTATGAGTAGGAGTTTATAGCACGATGGCTTCAGGGCTTTGTGGAGACTCTGCCCTACGCTGGTGGTCTTGTGCTCCATCTTTCCCTTAAAGCATTATTATGCTTCACTAGTTGTGCCCTAATTCCAAATTTCAGTTTTTACCCAAAGTAGTTCCACTGGACTGAGGGCTGGGTGCTGCTCTGGTCACTGTAATCATCCAGTATTATTGTCTGAGAAACATATGATAATGTTTAATAGTTATTCTCTGCACTGCACATTTTGTAGTCTCAGCTTTATCCCCTGTAATCACACACCTGAATAATTGGCTTAAGCTATTCAGGTTAACAGTCTAAATAAAAGGTAGTTTATAGCTTCTCCCGGGATTTGAATTTGAAACTTTTCCGTCAGAAGTTCAGTTATCATGTTACCGGCTCGCTTCTTTGTTTAAACCCGAATATCGTCTGACAGATGCAGGGTTTATCAGCGCGATTACAGAAAATACTGCCTAAGACCACATTTTGGAAACTGAGTAGTGTGTATTCAATAAATCATTCACTATCTCTCTGTTTATACCCTCCAACACTCTAAAATTGTGTTATTTTAGAGGTCTGTAATATGTATAGTGTATGTGCTACACACCAAAGATTATTGATGATGTGTAAAATGGTTTATCCTGGTCACCAGAAACAAATACAGAGGAATGTGTAAGGCAGGCTCCTGTAGTGTCTCCGTGTCCCGTTCAGTTTGCTTGCGTACCTCCCGGGCTAAGATGTGACTTCCAGCTTCCGAAAGGTATATGGTGTAACTTAAGCTAAATTATATGAATTCATTAAGATGGGCGGATGTGTCTGGATGTGAGGAGCTGCGCAACTCTCTTAATCCCACGTCGTCCTACCCCCCCCCCCTCTAGAGATGGCACCCTTCTGATGTGTTAAAATGGTGTGTCCTGTTTTGAACCAATAGGCCTGCTGCATGTGAAATATTATCGTCGGGGACCTGGGGGCAGGCGTTCCTTATTTCTTCAAATTGAAATTGGCAATCCTGTCCTACTATACCGTACTCTGCTGTCCTACTATACCGTACTCTGCTGACCTACTATACCATTCTCTGCTGTCCTACTATACCGTACTCTGCTGACCTACTATACCATTCTCTGCTGTCCTGCTATACCGTACTCTGCTGACCTACTATACCATTCTCTGCTGTCCTACTATACCGTACTCTGCCCAGTCTCCTCTATCCACTGTCCACACCTATTTATTTGGCCGAATAAATATGCTGTGAAAGTCCCCCGATCTCTTGGAGGCATTTGTTGAATTTGTCACTCAGCTTTGGTGTGGAACATTTTCTAAAGCTATGTACATGCTGGTGTATTTATTTACTTTATCTTTGTTGATATTGTTTAGTATAGATATTAAATAAATGTACCAATTAAATATAAATGCCTTAAGGCTGTCAGAGTCCTTTGCACTTGTAAACTGTGGGGGAAGCATTAAGTGGAATACATGATGAACTTAGTCCTTTTCTGACTAAGTGCATTTTGCTTGTTTTTGCCAGCAAATAATTTAACACCACATTCTAGGTTGTAGTCCCATTACAGAGCTTTTATTGGATGTATAAAAGTGTTTTGAAGATGGATGAGGTCAGGAATAGACTAAGTTTGATGGAATCCAGGGGTGATGACCTGTTGTAAGAAGATCTCTGGTCTATGCCGTCGCTGCACTGAATTCCTAGGATGGGTATTGCATGTGAATCATGAGGTAGCCAAATGGGAATGTTGAGCATTCTAATTAAAATGAGCCTTTTGGTGATTGTAGCCATTGCTAAGATACGGCTAACTGAATTTCATGGCTCTCTCTCTCAGCCACGTTTCCCTGCATGTCTGATACCGGCCATACAATGCGTGTGTTTCTCCAGGTCGTACGGTATCTCTGATGGAAGCAGAACTTTTGTCTAAACCCGGCCTCTCTGCTTTTTCGGATGGCAGTAAACGAAACACCAGTCAGGCACAGAGAAGTGTTATTTAACTAACCACTTATGGATTAACCATTAGACAGTTAAAATACTGGTTAATCCAGTATTCAAACTGAGGGTTTTTGAATGGTGCAACCTAAAATTTCCCTCTCATTGCCTATAGGTACAGATAACAGAAATCCATGATGAGGGTGTTCATGATGCACTGAGCTTCCTATTACCATAGCTACTCTTCCTGTTACCATAGCTACTCTTCCTGTTACTATGGCTACTCTTCCTGTTAGGGCTGCTTCAAAGCTCCACCCCGCCTTGGTACCTGATACCTTAAGCAGGCCTTCAGTTTAGGTGTCCAGTTCGACTTGCGGTTCACACAGCCCACTCCAGTGGTGACAGGGAACTGGGTTGCCGATCCTGGGCCTCCTGATCGGCTTTTCTGTTTCCGTTTTTGGCTATTCTGGTTTCTGGCTTGTGCTTAAAAAGAAATGGATTGCATGTGAGGAAAAACAACGGCGATTCATATTCCATCCATCCATTCATCTTCCAACTGCCTGTTCGTTAAAGTGTCACGGGGGAGATTCACATCTTCAATCTGTGACTTTGCCAACAGCTAGTTAAGTTTAATTTTTTCTTCAAAAAAGCTCTGTATAGCACAATGATTTGCTGTTATTATTGTTCTTCATGTTCAAGTAGGGGTGGCCAATATGGCAATAAAATCATATTACAATTTTTTTTAGACTCGGCCACGGTCCACAGTCTTATCACAATTGTTTTTTATGTTTGTTTTTAGAACTGTTTTGCAAGTTGCTGAACAGTACAACCAAACCTAAAAGGAAAAACATGCTCGCCGTACTCTTTCTGGCGACTTCTTTCGAGGTGGTGAAAAGGTTCACCCTGCTGCCATCCAACATGCAAACCTTATCTTTGCAAATTTTACAAATAACTGCTGTTTGCGCCGTGTCAGTTTTGGGAATCCAAACAAGTTCCATATTACTGGTGTTGAATTCTTTATAGGGACCGACTCCTCTACGTCGTCCATGCTGCTATGTTGGCAATTAGGGAAAGTGTTTCATGTTTCGCATTGCATGTTCGGACAAGGGATCAAAAGAGAGGAAGGTTCTACATACTGTTACTTATTACCGGTTTATTGGTGTCGAAATGGATTTTTGTGACAAAACAACTTTAGATGCGTGTATGAGAGAATGTGCTCTGTAGCACAGTGCTATCAGTCGCTCTGTAAAGGCAGATTGTGGAGATATTTTAATCGTTCACGGTCTGAAATTGTCAAATCTCACAACCTTATGGTCAAGTACTTTCTTTTTAAGAAATCACTTGCTGGACTAGTTGCAAAATGCAGTGAAATAAGGGGTGTTTGGTACAAAGAAAGTGTTTGAATATGGCGTACCTTAAATAATAGTAGTATTTATTGCGAGCCGATGCTGACTGAAAACGAATGTCTAGCAAAGTCATTTTATTCAAGGACTGTGTTTGTCATTCTGTACTTTGCATACTTGGTCGGAGAATTAGAACACAAGACCCCCTGTTCTTGAGACACAGCACTGGGGGTGGTGTATGGATCTGCGGTTTAAGGATGCTGTGCCTCTGCTCACATGGTCATTGGTTCAGATCCCAGAGTCTGTGGAGTGAATTCCCCATTAAGCAGCTTAACCCACAGGTGCTCCAGGGACTGTATAGCCCTCGTTTCAGTTGTACACCACTTTGCATGAAAGTGTCTGGCAAATAAATAAATTGTAACTGTTCATATCTTGATAGACCTCTGCTCACAGAGGGAACAGGTGCTGTGCAGTGACAGGTCTGCTCCTTTCACCAGTACCCAGATGTTCTTTATGCAATTGCTACCTTTGAGTACACAACCTGGCATTAGAAGTTTTTTCATGTTCCACTTAGTGTGCACCTGAGAACTGATCTACATTGGCTTGACGTCTAGGTGTGAGTATCTTTAGGAGTCTCACCTGCCCATCTGTTTGCTCTTCTAGTGCTCGTACCCAGTGTGGGAGGACTTCAATGCCAAGGCCACCAAGTTACACTCCCAGCTCAGGTAAGTCCCAACCAGATGCCTCGCTGTTTGCCACCACATGTGCACGGTAAATAGGGATATTCAGTACAGATTCTCCGATTACATGATCCGGGACGTGGTGTCCATATTGAAACACAACTGCCCAATCATACTCAAAACGGGACTTTTTTCAGTTTGAAATTTCAAACTTTCTTTAAAAATAGTTGAACATAGGCAGAAAATCATAAGGGACACTGGGGTAGATTTGATTTCACCCTTCATCTCACTGCTCCATAACTCAATATCTGCAAGTTTAAGTTGCAAGTATAAGTTTCATGTGTGTGCCACTGCCGCTCCACTGCGTAAGCGAATGGTGTGACCCCCCCTGTACCTTTAGGACGACGGTACTGGCAGCGGTGGCCTTCCTCGATGCCTTCCAGAAGGTGGCAGACATGGCAACCAACACCAGAGGTGAGGGCTCCTTATTTAGCTGGGCGTGGGGGTGGAGCTTAGGTGAGGTAAGGCCTTGTAAGCCACATTTGGGAGAGTGGGCAGTGTCATGGGTTGGGGCAAAGGTCTGTCTGTCCTCCAACCCTATATTCTGGTCAATGTTGCATCTATCCAAGGCAGCACAGGGCCCAGATTCCACAGGTGCAGAATATTTCTTTTGCTCCTAACGACAAATTTGCTGTATGCTATTAAATACTGTTTTCTATTTGTTTTATCAATGAAGAAATGTGACTTACAGTACATGGATTTTATCTGGTTCACCTAAATCTTGTGACACATCATGTTGATTTCATGCTGCGATATTAAGTAAAAACGACAACATGTTTTTAAATTAATTAAGTCGCAAGCATCATGTGATCTGTTTTTGAATATCTACATTGTGAGGATCTGTTAGTAAGTTTGTTTCGGAGTGGAAACTGTGGTAGACAGTAGGTGCTGATCATGAATTTATTATTTGGAAGTGAAAGCTGGGTAGCGCTATGATTGTAATTTGACCTCAGGAGAATGAACACCAAACTCTTAGCATTCAGGAAATCAACTCCAGACAGATGGAAGCCCACTATGAACATTTGTTATGATGGAAAAGGAATTCATAGTTGTGGCTGTTATGCAGAGGACTGGAATGATGGATGGAAAGAAAGAAGAATTAGTCCTCTCATTTTAGGTTCACGGGGAAAAGAGAGCCTTCAAAGATACAGGGTCTGCCGTGTGGCGACCTTGATCAGTCAGCAGAAGTACGTGGTCAGTGTGGAGGTGGTGGATTTATTGGGTAGGTCAGATCTACAAGCAGATGTAGTCCCATTACGGTGATACCACAGCTCTGCCAGCAAAAGCCAAGTGCCAATCCTGCTTTGACAGTTAAAAAGCCCTTCTGGTAATTATCCTATTTTAACACAAAAGTTTGGGAAGAAGATGAATGTGGAGGTTGGAAGGACCCAGAATCCTTCAACGCTTGGCTGAGATATGCTGTAAATGCTGGGGTCCAGCTGGCAAGGCTGCACCTGCCTGTCTCCTGACGGTCATGTGACCTGGGGTTTGTTGATGAATAATAAGCCGGCCAGGCCCACAGAAGCAGGCTGGATGGACACGTTGGAAGGCAAGAGTGAAAGTGAAAGGATTTATGAAAATGCTTGGGGCTTGATAGTTATAACAGGGAGTGGTTTTGTGCCCATGGTAGCTGTTTTGAATAACGTTACTGTTGGTCAGGCAAATAACACTATGCCACAGAGACAGGTTGAGATTTACAATTGCATTTCAATGTTATACAGTATCTCTTTGCCGTCTCCGAGCACGGTTCCAGCTCTCTTCGGTTTTCTTTTTTTCTTTTTTTCTGCTGCAGAAGGGTCGGCTTGGTAAAGGTGCTGCTGGGTTTGGAGAGCGACAGTGACATACTGTACAACCGAAGAGATGCTTCTTTACTGTTCACACGGTGTACATCATGATTTACTGTGTGCTAATTTCCTAGCACATCTGTGTGCTTTGAGTGAATTTGCATTAAGAATCCATTCTATTTAGCTGTTCTATAGTACTTTTTTAAAGTAGGTGGTTGGAAATTTTCATATTCTGAGTTGTCAGGAATGCATCAATACACTGCAATGTGTGATACGACTAATAATGAATAATACATAGAATATACGTTTTTTTCCTTCATATAATCCATGTGCAGAACACTGGGATATCCGTGCATTTCAACCAATCAGATGTCAGTGATGCAACCAGCTTGGCTTGGTCAAGCTTTCGGCCCTGCTAGTACACAGAGCCATGCTCGGGTATATCTTACATTCTGTATGATGGAAATCTGTCGGTTCTCCGTAAAGCTTGGGTACAGCTCAGATCTTGGCGGTAGTGGAAAAGCACCATAAGGCTTGGGTGCCAGGACCTCAGAGAGGAGATGTTTCACCTCCACCATGAGACAAACAGTTTCTGTTAATGCTCACATGTACCGCCTGTCCCTGTGGAGCCAGGGAATGGGGATCTTGGGTAATGATTCTCTTGCAGACTTCGTTAAGAAGAACTCCATTTATAAAGCATCCTAAGCACAGTGCTACTCTTCATGATGTGCCTTTATAATAAGTACCAGGGAGGAGATGTCAGCATAGGAGAAATCTCAGTTAATGGACAGTGGTTTGATTGCATCTAGTTTATTGTTGATCACTGTCTTTTGTAAAAAGTTAAAAAAAAATCATTCATTTGGCAGGTGGAAAGAAGAACTATGATTCTGTTTGTTTTTGAACAATACCTCTATTGTTGGACATACTAGTTGTATTTAATTGAAGTGTGGATGCTTTCAGCACATGATTTGCAGATTATTACCATTGTGGACTGCACTCTGCGTATCTCGGCTGCGTGACAAATTACAGGCTTCCTTGTCTGACTGCCTGTCTGTTGCAGAACAGGAGCGGGATGACAGTGTCTCTGTGACAGTAATTCTAATAAAGAGAATTGCTTTGATCATAAGGTGGAGGATACTGCAATTTAACCGCGCGTGTGAATTTGTTTGGTGGAATGGATGCGGGTGTGTTTGTTTGGTGGAATGGATGCGCGTGTGAATTTGTTTGGTGGANTGGATGCGGGTGTGTTTGTTTGGTGGAATGGATGCGCGTGTGAATTTGTTTGGTGGAATGGATGCGGGTGTGTTTGTTTGGTGGAATGGATGCAGGTGTGTTTGTTTGGTGGAATGGATGCGGGTGTGTTTGTTTGGCTGAATGGATGCGCGTGTGAATTTGTTTGATGGAATGGATGCGGGTGTGTTTGTTTGGTGGAATGGATGCGGGTGTGTTTGTTTGGTGGAATGGATGCGGGTGTGTTTGTTTGGTGGAATGGATGCGGATGTGTTTGTTTGGTGGAATGGATGCGCGTGTGAATTTGTTTGGTGGAATGGATGCGGGTGTGTTTGGTGGAATGGATGCAGGTGTGTTTGTTTGGTGGAATGGATGCGGGTGTGGTTGTTTGGTGGAATGGATGTGAGTGTGTTTGTTTGGCGGAATGGATGCGGGTGTGTTTGTTTGGTGGAATTAATTGTGCCCAGGGTGTGCTTGCCTGCTATGAGTGTGAGCGTGTTTTCCGTTCTCCAGATATGCTAAACAGTTTTCTTTGCTTCAGTATGTACAGGGAAGGGACTCTGACACCCTAACTAGAAATTTCTCTTCAGACCGTGTGACAGTTGTTGTGAGACCGGTGGGTGTAGTGTTCCTTCTAAAATGTGGCTGCTTCCTCCAGGTTCCCAGGTTCATTTTCATAACTGTCTTAAAGTGATTGAAACCTATTATATGCTGGTAAAGCCCCCCCCCCCAATAGAGTTCTCTTTAATATGTCCTCCCAGTGCAGGAAAATGAACAATTTCATTGTGTATAAGTGTCATGTAAAACATTGCACAAAAATGTGGGTGCAACAAATAAATACCCATTCTTAGCAAAAATCAAATTCTTTCTTGCCATTTGCAGCATTTAAAATTGGTAAAGCCTTTATTATTGAAGTAAAGCAGAACTACTTATTTTAGGAGAGGATAATTTGTAAGACCAGGGGGTGTATGTTTGGCCATGGGAAACGACCTAAAACTCATTACTGACAGTAGAAAATGTGCCACAAGTTGAACTTTATTTTAGCCCAGACTCAGCAAATTAAGTGGCCAGGAAAATGGAGTGAATCAGCCCTTGCTGCAACAAGGTGTGGTGTTCTCTTTTACGGAACTGGGACTGCTCAATCATGGAAAATGCGTTCCAAAAAAACTCCAAGGTTTCTTAATAAAAAGCAGAAGTAGTTTTAAGGGTGCTGGGTTGGCTCATGATGACACCCCGAAGTGGTCCATAGATTAAGATGAAAGCCTGAGTGAAATACACACAAATGAAAGCCTGAGTGAAATACACACAAATGAAAGCCTGAGTGAAATACACACAAATGAAAGCCTGAG